GGGCACACTTATTCATCAAAGTTAGTTTATTAGAGCAAGTGTTTGGGAGGAAGAGAAATCCATTTCCGTTTTGATGAAAATGGCAAAAAAAAAAAAAACATTCATACCCAGACAATGCAATAAAATCCAAAAATTTACTGCTGTATTGAAAATGAATATTATCTTTGCAAAATATTGTCAGGTTGAATTTTTAGTATGACAACAGCAATATTAGGAGATTATTATCCTGCTTGTGGACCGTTATATCGTTATGTTTTGACCATTCAGCTGTAAATGTGAAGAGTCTGGATGTGGCCAAATGTGTGAATCTTCGAGATTTTCTCAATTAGCCTTTCAGCCATTTCACACTTTGAGTCTTTATCCACGACTTTGCAAAGTTGTGACACATTTGAACATCTTGTAATTAAACTGATAACCACACCAAGTCAATCTAAAGATCTCTGCTGAGTCTTTTGGCTTCAAGACCCAATCATAAATTAAAAACCTCTCAAGTTGTTTGCATCAAAATGAACGGCTCAGATGAAACATACAACAGAAACCTCAGAAATTAAATATTTAGTTATTAAGCTAGAAGTTTTTCAGGTTTTACTTTTGGAATTTGCTAAAAAGATGTTTTATTGTACATAACCTTAATACTGGATCATTCTGAGTAGTGCAGAAGCTCTGAAGCCCCCGCTGCAGATGAAAGCGGTCTTTCTGTTTCAAGCTGCTTATTTACGGGACCCCGACACAGAAAGTCTGAGGAGAAGAGGCTCATCTTTGATCACTCTGCTGATCTCAGCGAGGCGCCTCAATACGTTACTATTTTATTCCACAAACTCACTTTAAACCATGCATACCTCTAAGAAAGTAGCACAGTGGGGTTTGAGGGAACCTGCAACTTTTTTAAGGTACAGAAGATCCAAGTGACTTAACTAATGACAGGAAAATCATTTGGATTTTACGCTGAAAATAAATCAACTCGTCTCAGAGAGAGACTAATGAAGGAAAAAGTCTGCAGTGATTGACATTTCAGATCAAAACAAATGCCTTCCTGTGTGAAAACCGACCAGCAGCAGCTTGGTTTCACTGTGGGTGGTTTTGTTTTGTCAGCAAGTTCAGATTCAAGTTTTTTTTTTTTCCTGCTCATTTGTTTGGCCCGTCATTCACTTGTTATTCTGCTCATTTATCAAGCCTGTTGAAAATGAAATCCAGGCTCCAACGATGCAGCATGCAGCGCTTTGCAACTGGGAAATGCGCAAAGGAAATTTCTTTTTTACGAGGAAGAAAATGACTATTAATACGAGAGGTGGATTGTTAATTAAAATGCAGTTTAAATTTTTATGAACCAATATTTCACAGCCCATATAAGCCAGCAGCTGCAACGTTCCCCCACTGTGGGACTGAAACTATTCGTCTTCGGCAACAACTTGTGCCACTTCCATCAAACTGGCCATCATCCGCAGCTGTGGGCAGGGACAAATGACCCGGAACTGACAAGAAAAATCTAATTTCATCCAGAACTTAACACCCTGGCCCGGCTTACCTCGCGACTAACAGCACAGCTTACAGAAACTGGCTATTTCAATCAGAGCACTGTGTAATCACAGGATGGTGGTTTATGTGGACGGTGGGCTTTGGGATTAGGGACCCTAAAGTAGTAATTCACCAACAGCCTGTTTCTTTGCTGTTGATTCCTGTTATTTTCATTGGTGGGGGACATTTCTGACTGGTCTGTTTCCACAGTCCAGTTTTCTGATGAGCATTTAAAATTTTAGCTTCATATGACACTTACTTGAAGCTACAAGAAAGTATTTCTCCCTTCCAGGTGTCTTCGGCTGTAACACTTTGCTTCCATGACTTCAAATGACTTTTAACCTCAGACAGCAATAACCCAAATAAATACAGTTCCACAAAAATTTGAGAAAACATCATCGTCCACTGGTTAAATAATGAGTCAGTTGTGAATTTCACTCCCTCTACCAGGTCTGACAATTGTCCGACTTGTTGGGACAACCAGTTACAAAACTGAAATCTGTCTGACAACATGTAGTGGACAGAAGAACCCAGATCTTTCCTACAATTAAAAGATTAAATGAGAAACAAATATGTATTTTTCAGTGAAACACAGGGGGAACTACTCTTCACAAATGACTTCTGCGCAGGAGCTGCTTGAAATTACTGCCAAAAACACAATGAAACCTCCACAATGTCCCAAAATTACCCCGTCAGTCATCTAAAGCACTGCAAGCCTCACTTGCTTTAATTAATTCAACTAAGGGAAGAGAGTTTGCCAAAATGGCCTCCATGGCAGAGATCTGAGGTCAAAACGACTGCCTACCTAACAAAACAGAGAACAGTGTCACTTTTAGAGTGTAGTCAATAGCAGTAGTCAATAGAACAATAAATTCTGCTCTAGCAGAAAATCCTGAAGGAGAAAGTCTGGCCAAGAACATTCAATTCATTCAGGACAATGAGTCAAAGCACACCAGGACATCGACCTGCAATCAAAAACAATAAACATTAAAGGCTCTGGACTGGGCTAATCTGACTTAGATCCTATTGAGTAACCTTTAACTGACCGTTCTGGCTGGAAAACTCAAATGTGACTGAAGAGAAATGTAAAAAACGAACTTCCTGTTGTCGCAAACACTTGATGGTAGCTGTTGCTAATCGTGGCACATCCAGTTTCTTTAGGAGCCAGTTTGTTTTTTGACGGAGAGCCAGGTTAGTTTGGAGAGCTTTCTTGTTTTCAGAATTTGAAAACTGTTTTGATTTTTCTCAAATCATATCTGTTCGATTGTCTTAAAGCAAAGATGGAAGATTGAGTTTGAGACTCTGACTCAAGTCGCAAAAATTTGTGTTAGGACGGCAGGATATCACCGTTTTTACCTGTGCCTACAACCATTCTTAACAAATTCCAACTTTCTCAGTTTATCCACCCTATCTTTGTGAGTCTCTGTGTGCCTCCTTTTCTACCTGGATCTTCCCCCTGCCTCCCCGCCGTGAGGGTGGGTAAGGGCTGCGCCCAGGGCAGGATGCTGAATTAATAAGACATACTGCTATGAGAGGTTTAGATCAGAGTGGAAAACAGCGCCCTGGGCTGATGCACAGCGACTGAAGGTGGAAGAGAAGGGAACAAAGACGACGAGAGAGGGCGAAGGGAAGATGCCTCGAGAACCGTATGGGAATGTGTATCTGAAAAGAGAGAAGACAAAGAGTTGAAAAGGTGAAGGAGGGACGACGAGGTCAAAAATGATCAGCTTATCTTTAGATAATGATGGTGGGAATTTGAGATATTTTCTCCAAATTTCTTTGTTTTAAGTTGTGTGATGACAGAAAAAGGGAAGAAGTTTGGATTTTAATTTATAACTCAACTCCGTAAATCAAATCGATCCTTCTCTGTGTCAGGTTCTAATAATCCGAGTCCCAAGGTTCTGGCAGCAGAGCTAAATCATTAAAGCACACCTGATTTCTTTTTAGTCTGAGGATGAGGGCTGATTGGTTCTTGATATAATCTCATATCGTGCACTTTTTATTACTCACATGTTAACATTTAGTTAAAAAAAAACTTAACACATGCCAATGAAATGACAACAAAATATGACATTTTTTATAAATGTTTGTTGTTTTTTGTTAAAATGAAGAGAGAAATGTTTTGTCATTAGGTCTAGGATATAATGATGTTGTCAGATAAAAGACCCAATACTGATATACTTTGTTTTCAATATTTTAAAGTGCTTTAAATCAATAGTTCCCAAGCATTTTCATTTTCCCCCAATTTTCTTTTCTTTTTTATTGATTTTTCCTGCTTTTTCACTCAATTTCAGTACATTACCTGACCATTTGCAGGTATACGTGGAAGCGGATTGTGTTGCACAGTAGAGAGAACATAAATGAGTCCATTTTCCATCCTTGTTTAGTTTCCCAGGTGTTTTTAACAAGGAGACAAAAGCTGTGGAGAGGACGTTTGGTTGTGCAGATCTAAAACTGTCTAAAAGTGCTATCGCCAGCACGTTCTGCATTAAAGCCATTGTGATGGTAATTCTGTCACCCCTAATGGACAATTAGATATGCTAGCAGATAGAAAGCTCTCCGCATAACAATCTCTGGGTTCTAATTACCTCACCAAATGGCGTGGTTGTTCATGTTTCTGTGGATCACAAGAGCAATAAGACACGGGAGCAGGGATAGATTGAAGGTTAAAGGGGGCAGTTGCCATATTAAACGTGTCCTTCGCTGATAAAGGCCTGATGGATGAAGAGCTGCACCAATGTTCATACAACTGTCCAATAATGGCTCCTCTCAAGGATTTCTTTTAGTGGCTTGCAGTCAGCACTTTGCCTTTCTGTCACAAGAGCCTCCGGCTTTTAAAACTGAATCTGCAAGACCACACTGCGAAAAACACACAAAATCTCAGTAATTTTGGTCTTTTTCTAGAATCAGACAAAACTAGCTTACAAGTTACCTTTCAACATACTTGATTTTAGTTCATACTTCCTTAATATTGAATAAAAAGTACTTATTGGTATTTATTTTTCCGCTCAATCTGTCCGGGCTAGCTAAGGAAGATTGGTGGCATTAACCAATTGTCGCTCTTTGGTTACCTTGCAACAACTTGTTGAGTAACTAGTGCAGAAGCAGCTTAAAGTTCTGGCACTCTGCCTCATAACTGCTTAAAAACAATAAACAAAACCTCTGGAGTGAAAGCTGAAACCAGCTTGGCAGTATTTCAGATATTTAAATCAAAAACTGATTAAAAATTAACAATATTGACTGACGTGAAACCATTATATTGTGATGCATTTTTCAGACACATCATCCAGCCCTAATGTATAATAAATCTAAAGTCTGACATTTATGTCTATATCTTTGTGTGGGACAGTAGTGAAGGGAGGAAAATTGTGTTTGCTGTTTAATAAAAGATGGGATTACTGAGATTTTCCTCCAATATCTCGTTTGATTAAATGTTTTTAATAACTTTACCCTCATTCCTCATCGCCTTGTCTCCTTCTTCACAGGTAATGAGCTGCTGTACCGCAACCGAGATGGCGACGTCGTCAAGTACAACGCCGACACCGACGAGCAAACTGTCTTGGTCCAAAACAAGAAATTTGTAAGTCACCTTTTTCTGCTTTTTTCCAGTATTATTATAATGACGACAAGACAGTTCTGCTGACGGTGGAAGGCCTTAAATTAAATCCTAGCTCTTCTTTGGGTCAGCAGATCCGACCTCCTGCAGCTCTTTCTGTTGGAAAATTTAATCAAACCATGCATCATTTTTTAGTGAAAAGTGATTTGAATATGTAGGCAGACATCAAGATAGAGATGCAATAACATTATATCAGCAATCATACTGGCGAAGCACAAGTGCAAAGATTAATGCAACCCCCATTTACGTCTGAAGCTAGGCAATCTGTCAGAGACAGCTTTTAAGGACTGGTTTAATAAAAACAGCATGCATGGTTAGCGATGTGTGTTTCTGTTCTGAAATCTACGTCTGATTCACAGGAAATGTACAAGGCCAGCAGGTATGAGGTGTCCCCGGACTTGAAGCATGTGCTGCTGGCCTACAACGTCGCGCCGGTGAGCTTCTCATTTGTTTGCTTGTTTTTTGAATTGGCAAACTGACAGCCAAATATGTCAGGAGAGAGCAGAGCGAAGGTGGTGGGGGAAGTAATCACGGCGAAGTGTGAAGGCTTGGCGCACACAGGCGAAGTGGGGAGCGGGGGGTGTCGGGTTTGGAGGGGCGAGCACAGCTGAGCGGAACTGCGGCGAGGGAGGCAGAAACACAAACAACCCCCTCGACGCCTCGCGGGGCTCGCAGAGCTGCAGATGAGATCGACGGGCGCGGGCAGGACGTATCGGATGGGAATATATCATTTCTGTGCTGTTCTTGAATAAAGTGCCCCGCAACTGCACTGGATGATATGGATCAAAGCGCTTTCGCCTCCTAGTATAGCTACATCAGATATATTGAATCATTCACCTGCTTACCTGGTGTTCGCCTTCGTTCTCGCTTTATTCTGCTGCAGCCAGAGTGTTTGTTCCTGTTAGGCTCTGAAAGATGCCTGCTGATATATAATCTGCTGTTATTGCCTGAGATGAATAGAGAATATTATGACAAACTGGATGGTGTTGTAGTGTTTGTATTTGCATTTATTATCCAACTGAACTCCCCATCACTTTGATAGATGACAGTCATTCCTCCTGTATGCTCATTGAAGCAGCGCACAGTCACATATTCCTGCTTTATTTCTCTGTACCGTGCAGGATGGATGTACTGCACACCACAAAGAATAGCAAAACGTGCATAGCTCTTCCAAATTACAATGTTAATGTTTTTCTTTTGGAAAGTGAACTCAGATCAGTAGATAATTAATGAAAAAATATCCAAAACCACAAGAACAGTATCTGCATAATATCCATATTAGTTCTAATTCAATGCAACCCTCATTAAAATCAGTTCAATTGATGGTTTACCTGTATAGTTATGCAACATTTTATCAATGCTAGTGCAGAAATTAATTAGGAACTACAGTAAATTCACAGTTCAATGAAAGAAGATTTTTAACCCAAATTATTTACATGAAATGTGCCTGTTCGCAGCTTTTTTCCCTAAAATAATTGTAAGAATAAAATAAATAGTGACAATGCTATTTGACATGCTAGTAGTTAATCCCAAGTCAGCATGTGATTCAGGACTTTGTTTTCGACTATAGATAACAACTTCTGATACTTTGTTTAGTTGTGATTATTAAGATTTATTTGGTGTGTGAGCTGTTCTGTTAAAAACTATTTGACTTTGGTTACTAACATTTGCAGGTTCTTACAATGCCTTCAAACTCTTAAAAATATAATTTTGATACATTTATCGTATTTTATTGGAATTTTATGTGATGGAAAACAAATGGACATTGCTTTGTTCAGTGGTGCAAACCCATACTGAATCAGGAAGTGTTGTGGTAAAATCTGTGGTGGGTTTTTGTGCATTTATAGTTAAATGTACAGAAAAGGCCAAAGTTATTCATACCCCATGCAGATTTAGATTTAAATTCGACTTCATCCAATTAAGATGTTTCTTTCTAATTGGAAATTAGGCTGGACGTTTCTCAAAAAGACAATGAAACTGAAAAATTTCAGATAATTTGTAAAGTGGTATTTTTCTATATGAGCTGCAGATATTTTAGGTTCCAAGTCCAATTATTTTGGACTTGGCTATAAATAATTCCTGCATCTGAACCTGAATGTTCAACGGCTGTTTTTCTATATAAATAAAAAATCAGGTAACAAGTTGGAGCTTACATCAATATTATTTTAAAAATGTCTGTTTCATGCAAATATTTTAAAAGCTTCTTAGATATTTCTTGTTTCTTTGTATTATTCATTGACAACTCCGTCTCTCTGAGGGATTTATTAATGTGTTAATCCTGTTTCTTTAATCTCAAAGAAAACACTGTTGTCCAGTTTAACCTCTGTTTAATACTTTAGTGATTTCACTGAACAGAGGAACAGAAAATAGACGCTTTTTGTAAACGAAAAGGAGTTTAAACAAAGTATTTTTCTTTGCAGGTGTACCAGCATTCCTATACGGCATTTTACATCATCTGCAGTCTGGAGACTCCGTAAGTTGGCTTATGACAGACTCTTTGGGTTTTATTATGTGAAATCTCCTCTGATCTTCTTTCAAGAAGATTAATTCCAAAATCATCCAGCAAATCACCTTAAATCAACCTTATTGTTTATTTCTGAAGCTCACATAAAGCTGGCTGTAAATCTGAAACCACAGCTAACTGCTTTTCATCATTTTGTCCCTATAATCTCTAAAAAGTTATCAAAAACATTTTTACATGTACTGAACAGCTGCCTCAGCTTTAACTGATCTCAGATTATTGTCCATGATCTATACAGCGTGTAATAAAAGGTTGAATTTATTGTCATAAATATGTGCAAATATTTCTAAATCGGTACCACAAACACTTTGATTTTCATTATAAAAAAATCATGAAATCCTGGAAGGATCGAAAAGATGTTCAATAATATATAATTTTAAGAATTCAGTGATATTTTAACAGTTTGTGAACTGGTTTCATCAGTACATTCTGGCACAATCTGCCCATTAAGAGCTTTTATGATCTTGATTTGGCCCAAAGCAAAAATGAGTTCAAACTGCGGCTTGTTTCTTTGTGTCCTTGCAACAGTTACTGCTGATCATAGGTGCAATTTGGGGGTGTGCGTACCTTTCGCGCCAAGTGCAGGCCTAAGTCTTTGTGCGAGAGCTTCGATTGTCAATTTGAGTGATAGGAGACGCACATGACACACATAGATTATCAGCCGCGCCCCCAACAGCCACTAAGTGTCTTGCTTGCCGCCAGCCTGGTGTGGCTGTAATGAGGTTGCAGGCTCCAGCTCCGCAGGAACCCCATTGTCTTAATTAGTTGTAAACTGGGCCTTAGGGAAATGCACTAAACAAACTCTGCAACAAAAGTTGATTTAATCTAAATGTTGAGCACTTAAACGGCTGAAGGGGAGAAATAGAAATTAGTGAAGCAACGCAAGTTTGCACGCCCTGCAGTTGTAATTTATTTCCATTAAAACTTAATAAAAGAGGAGCCATTTACAACTCTATGTAATATGGCTCTTGCTTTTGATAAACAAAAAGTATGACATTAGTTTCAAAATAGTATTTTGCATCTTTCAGCATATGAGTACAGAGTAAAAACACTGCAAAGACAAAATCTTACCAAGTAACATACCACGTTATTATAAGTGAAGTTATTTGTCAGTAGAACTAATACTTTTTCTGTAATATTAATGAATTATTGACCAAAACAAGTTCTTATATGTTGTTGGAAATGTACTTGTAAGTTTGTTGTGTCTCATTTTATATTTACTAAGATATGTTCACTAGAAACTAGACGAAAATGCTTAGATTTTGTTATTTTGCAGTGAAAGTGACCTTATTTAAAATTATTCTTTGATGTATTTTTTCCATTTTGTCGTTTCTGTCATTCATGGAGGCACATAACAAGAAAATGAAAATACTGTCATGCTACAGCTTTGGCATCCCGCAGTAAAAGCTCAAAGCTTACAGACAGATGAATCACTTTCAGATCTCAATGATGGGATTTTTAACCCAGAGAAGTTGTTGCTTTTTGAAGTCTTTCCCCACATATCTGAATTTATATCCCGAAGTTGATGTCTTTTTTCCCTTTGGTGATTTATTTGAGCTGCAGGTCACAGTATGGTATCATTGTATCTGTTTATGTATATGATATAATGTGCTGCCATCCAGTGGTGTCGTCCTCTTTAAAGCCACATTCACATCTCTGAGGTTGACCTCATTCATTGTCAGCACCAGACAAAGACAAAACGTCAGCAGCGCCTCTAATTCAGCCTCCTGCACCGCACAGCACTGTTCCCAATAAGGAGAGGTGACACCCTTACACACTCTGGCTATTTATGGAGACACTTAAACCTTTGTTCGAAGATGTTCCACACTTGTTCTGCTGATGCTGCTGCAGCGGTGGGAACTGAAAGTCATTGTGTTTGTGTTCAGGTGTCTTGAGTTAACTTCTCCCCGTCTGTCTCCCCCTAACAGAGAAACCTGGAACCTGAACCCTCCGGAGGTGCGAAATGCTCAGCTGCAGTTCGCAGGCTGGGGTCCCCAGGATCAACAACTGGTAAAAAAAAGATTAATATTTTACCTGTTCCAACCAAGGTTATCTAAAACCAACAAAATAACTGAAACTGGGAAAGCATTTTCATTAAAAAAAAGGGAAATTAATGTGGAGAAAGTATAGCTAACAGGAAGTATTTTGCGTGTTTATAAATTTTTTGTGTTTTCAATAGATAATTTTTCCACCCACACAAGCAGTTTACGTCAGCTGTCGGCAAATTAAAGCGCTTCGTAATCATCCTGCCGGTGACGCTAGAAAACAAAATGGCGACGGCAAAATTCGGAAGAAAACGGCAACAGTTGGTTGGTCAACAACAATTAAATAAAACATTTTTATTCAGTATTCATCACCTAATTAATCAAAACTTTGACGTTTTTGAATTTTCCACCCAAAACTAAAGTATAAAAAACTAAAACTATTCCTGTTACTAAATAAAACGGAAGTAAAACTAAACAATATTTAGCTAATACAAACCAGCAAACACACTCTAAAATCTTATTAAAACTAAAGGAATTAGACAAACAAAAAGTCACAAAGAAATAAAACTAAACTATTCTGACTGATTATTTTCTAAGAAAAATTTATTCAGAGTTAACAAAGTGAACATAAAACTTTGCAAACAGAGAAAAGTGATGCCCTTCACTGTCTGTTCATAGTTTTAATAGAGAATAAAACTAATTACATCTGAAGCCAGGGTTTTTCCTCTGGGACTTTATATTGGCTTTTCAGTCAAAGAAATAAGAGTCTATTAATTAAAAAACACACACCAACTCAAGTTGCAGTTTTTCCATGTATTATTTTTTATGGAAGGTTTAAATTATGACTCTGTGTTTGTTATGATCATTATGCCTGCTTGTGTATTTTAAATACTTTTAGACCAATTAACTTTCCTGGAAAACATTTTTATCCATTGCACACACAACAGATAAACTTTAATATTATTTTAGTGAGTCAGTTATCATTTTTATTAAGCACACAGTAGAAAGAATGACGTTGTTTCAGGTCATGTTCTTCTTTTTTAGCCTTCATCTTTCACATAAACATGCTTTGAGGGATTTGGTTTTCCATTGTCTGATTTTTTAAAAATAATTTTTGCCATTTATTTAGTCAGAATATTGATTAAAAGTCATGTTATTGGTAAACCAATACAATGTGCACCGTATATACAGATGTTATGATTGTGCAATCTAGTTCCAACCTGGGCACAAAATTTTGATTAAAAATACACAAAAACAATCTTTTCCTAATTATTTCACACACCATATTTTAATAAATGAAAGATTTTGGATTTCTGCAGAAAAACTGAAAATTATTCTAAATCCTGCAGATATTCTTAAACACAAGCAAAAAATGCAAACAATGTCCTAAATGTTTGTGATTTTTATTTTGGGAAAACTTTCAGTTGGTGATGCCGTTTTTCAATCAAACATGGCTGATGGAAAAAAAAAAAGACATTTTTGTTGCATCTTTCATTTTTAGAAGGCTTCACTTTGTCTGCTGCCAGTGAATAATTAATCATTTAAATGTTTCTTTTCATCAATGTTTCAATTTTCATCATCTTTGTCTAAAACTTTACAGAATGGGGTTTTTACCTTTATGATTGAAAACATCTTGCCCCACACAAAGAAAGTGAGGTTTTGTGAGCCCGTCTTAATGTAGACAACAACTCCCCAGACAAAAAGCAAATTCATATTTCCTGTTCTTTTTTAAGAGACGTTTCTGATTAACTGCATAAAGCTGCTGTTTCTTTAAAGAACAACGAAAGCAGGATTAGGATTTCTCTCCTTTGTAGTTGAAGTTTGCAGTAAAAAGCTGTGGAGAAACACGTCGGCACTGACTTAGCCCTTTGATTTAAAAGCAGAAGCAGAAAGGCAACTCAGCAGAAACAAACAGGGGGCCCCATTATTCCTGCTTGTGCCTTTAAAGTTGCCAGTTTGGTGATGTATTGTAAAAAGAAGTCTGCAAACTGAACTCAGTTTAAAATTACAGCGTTTTAGTTCAGTGTTTGTGGGCCACAAACTTGAAATTAGTTTTCTAAACATGGCTGAAAGCTGAGAAATTAGGATTTATCGAATGCGCTATGAAAAGATGCTAACTTCTAAGAATCTAGGGGTCTATTAGAAATATTTATTAAATATATTTCTGCCTTCTACTCTTAACTCTCCTTGAAATGTAGACAAAGGACCGTGAGATATTCAGACGGTGCATTTTCCTCATCTTATTTCTGAACTTGAAACTTATTCATAAATGTGCAGATGTCTTGAGGCTTTAAGGGCTGAAACTCATAAAAGCTGTTTTTCTTATAAAGCGCTGAGAGCCATCTGCTCCTCAGCCCTTAAGGACATAGAGGCTGGAAGAGAACAAACTAAATGGTGCATTCAAATGTTCCTTGTTGTTAAACAATATAAAATTATAGCAGGTGGCAAGAGGCTTCCATTGCTTTAATAGTGACCATGTTGCAGTCGCCTATAAAGTAAAGTAGATGCTTCATGCATAAAAAAGAAGATATGCCAAGTATTTTATGACATATTTAGATATACTGTATTTCTTGCTGGCAAATAATTTTTTTAAGAATTAAATAAAATGTTATTGAAGAGCTTGGATTTCTTTCTCGCATCTCTGTGCCATAAAAATGTGATTTATTAGTAAATCAGAAGGTCAGCTGTTTTTTTTTTTTAATAATTGAAACTGTACAAACATAAGAAGAGAAAAGAGTCTGAAAATGTTTTCCATTTGCTGCAAAATGCTTTCCCTTCATCAAAGGGATTGGCAGATTTTTTTATCACAATATTTTGTAGTTCTATTGTGATAACAGTAAAAATTACAACAAAAACATATTTATTGCTTCTTTTTTCAGGGTCATCTAGCAGTTATTTTTGCAATTTACAGTCTATTAAAAGTGTTTTATCAGATTAAAGCAAAGTAAAAAAAAAAGCTCCCTGCAACAGCAGGATTGAAATTACCGTAATAACCCAATGTTGGCTGGAAGGTGCAACGTCTCCCCTTTCAGAAACCGTTGGAATATTTCAGATAGCGCAAAGATAGCGGAATCACGGGACTGCAAATTGTAAAACCGTACTGTTGCAGACACGTTCGAACAAGAAGGGCTAACACACACATCATTTTGTTTTTTATGGACTTTCTTACTTGTTTGCATGAAAAGATTACAAGAACGTATTGGTTTTGCACTCTGCTGCGTATGTCTTGAAATATTTTGGTGCTGAAAGTTTTGAGTCCTGTCCTTTGCAAAGTTGTTCTCAAGTTATATTAAATACTCGTGGCCTTCCAACTGGCTATCAAGGACAAGCACCGAGGTTTTATACCTAACATACATAATTTATGTCCTCAAGTGGTTTTCATTGCTCTGGTTCATGAGGCAGATTTATCATTGATTGGTGACGACATTTCTGACCCTCTGGAGACATAATGACTACATACTTTAGTAGTTAAGAAAATTAACTTAAACTGATTCAGGTTAAACTAAAGAAGCACAAGAAGCCGTGGTTTATTCCTACTGAGTCGCTGTGCATCTTCTCCCTCATCGCTCCATCAGATCAGCTGGAGTCTTAATGAGCTTCGGCGGGCTGGTTTACAGGGCGGTCAGAATGTAAGTGATTACGTCCTGAAGCAAAATGCTATCAATTACCCGTTATCTGATCGGAGGATTAATTAACTCGCTGGTAGACTGATGTGGGCTCAAATTTTGCTTCATCGTTCATGCTGTGGTTTCGCTTCCAGCAGCAGTGTTAACAGGAAATGGCCTTTAGCAGAAACAATGCCAGACATGGGACTGAGGGGAAATTGTTGTTAAATGTTACATCCAATCATTGTAAATCAGTCAACTTTGTATTCTGTCCTGAAATCCTTCATGTTCTTGATTGAACCTCCTTTTTTGTCATCTAGGCGCATCAAGCTATTTGTTAGCCTCTGAAAATCATGTAGTCTGGAAAATTCGCAGCATAAAGATTTTTTTACAGTCCTTTTACCATGAAAAGTAAATCCCCCTGTAATTTTTTTCTTTGCACTCTGTAGGCGGCTAATCTTCCACATGGAGCCGATTCTCTTTCACAGAAGTACAGATACTTACAGAGGCCTCAAGAGGCCCAATTCTTCTGTTGCTTTTCAGAGATGAACAAGAGGGCAGAAATTGCAAAACAGGCATTTTCACAAATTAATTTCTGAACACAGTTCCTGTTAATTAATCAGACTAGAAATGCCTGATTTGCATCGTCAAATCATATTAGTGCCCCACTTTTTATATGGGTTTAACAGGCAAAACACATAGAACATACTTTCCAGTTGGCTTTGTATGTGATATATGAAGAGTTTTTTATTTAATTTCTGTCCACTGACTGTTCTCTGTCTGTAAATCTGTGTGGTGTAAATGCAAAGAACAATTTAAAATGCTTTTGATCACTAATTTTGATTGGCAGCTCTGCTAAGTCGATAGGTCTGAGTACAGCAGGCTAATGCTGTTGCAGCTGTTTTAGTTTCAGTTCCATAATCCAAGCAAACTATCCTCTTTCTTCAAACTGTTTTGTGCTCCAGTTATCCTCAGAGCAGATTTTCACCTTCCCTCAGAGAACGGGGCCAGGTCTCCTCTCTTTGTTGTGGCCTAGATTGGCTTCTATACCAGGACCTGGTGTGCATTGGAGTGTCACCAAAGCACATGAGGCCCACAGCTTGCGCCTCCTCAACAGAAACTAATTGTGACAGATTCTGCTATATATATTTTTTTCTTTTAAAGATGCAGCATTTGCTGCAGGAACTTAAGTGGCTAATTTTTCACCACAAATGCTAACTGTCAAACCACTGAGACGGTGTTGCGAGTGGATAGATTGCTGAAATCTTGGCTGTTTTTTGTCAAACACGAGGCCCAGGGGCCAAATCTGGCCCGCCCTCGCTTTTAATGTGGCCCTCAAGACTCCAGAGGAATTGCAGAAATAGAACCTACAAGATAACTTAAATATTGTTTTATTAATCTAATCAAAGCGGTTTTTATCTGCACTACCAAGCTACATCAGTACTTCCAGTTTTACTGAGGTCGCAGAAATCAACGCAAAATCAATAAATTTTTGCGCTTGTGCAGAACAGTTTATTAAAAATAAATCCAGAACCAGAACATTTATCAAAAACCTTTATTTTAAGTGATGCCAACTCCCACCAGCAGGTGACAGTATATTTACAAAATACACTTAGATACTAGTAATAAAAAGTCAAATTTGTTACCATAATTAAGCACAAATATTGCAATATTTCTCGCAAATATTTGTAAATTAGCACCAGAAAAAATGTTGAATCTTATTGCAAAAAAATTAGCAAAATTATGGAGGGACTGATAAATGTTATCTAATTTTAAAAGAAGTTATGAAATGCAGAGACAGTTCTAACAGTTAATGGGGTTTATTGATACATTCAGGCACAACCGGCCCTTTAAGAACATTCATGATCTTAATGTGGTTCAAAATGAAAACGAGTTGGACGCTTTACAAGAAGGAAAAATCTTCGGCTGAAACAGAAGTGGACATCCTGCTTTATCATTCAGTCTGCACAGAGTGAATAGTTATTTGAGATTCTCTCTCAAACCACTACCAAGACACTTCCTTGAGGCCAAGACATTTACTTCCTAACATGCCAAATTCGTTTTTCTCTGCAACAGCATTGATTTCCATGCGGTATATTAAAGTAGTAACATCTTAAAATTCTCCCCCAAAGGGCAGCCTTGCCTTTCCTCGCTTACTGTAAGGCTCTGATGGTCCATTATTCTCCTTAATGACTGAATTGACCTTCAGTTATCTTGAAAGCCCTGCAGGACTGTGTGGGGTTGGAGTCAAAGTCAAAATCTCATTCCCTAGGGTTTGGAGTTTCCATTTTATTTGCATTGTAACAGAACTGTTCTGAGAAAAACTCTGTATTTTGAACATTGTGTCATAATCTTATGACACAATGAATTGCCCAAACTGGACTAATAGGTGCATAATTTTGTCTTTTTGTCTTTCCGATAACGATAATATTGTTGTTTTGACACCATTTTCAATTAATATATTGATAATGACTCAATGCAAGTTCATCTCCTCAAACTTTAATTTTCTACAGAACTTTTTAAATAAAAATAAAAATGGCTAAAAACGATAAATAAAAGGGAAATATAACCCACACACAATCAAAATCATAAAACAAAGATTATTAAGATTCTGTAAACAAAAGATAGCCCTTCAAAAAACATGAATAACCAGAACAGAAATTACAGATTTAATTTCACACATTAATTGATTAATTGCTTAGTAATACTTCAATGTAATATTCAGCTTTATAAAAGCCTTCTACTTGTTGGTTGATCATATTTTGTCTGTTTTTATCCCCTGTAGATATTTATATTTGAGAACAACATCTACTATCGGTCTAAGGTGGAGAGCCGATCGATTCGTCTCGTATCTACAGGCAAGGAAAGCGTCATCTTCAATGGACTCAGTGACTGGCTGTATGAAGGTAATGACAAAGTTTTATATTTTGAAAATGATTCATTTTCTTTCTTTTAGTTTTAAAAAACGCAGTGGAATCTTGGTAGATGAGAGATTCTGTCATTGTGAAGTCTTCTTTTGTTGTTTTGCATTCTCTTCATACTGGGAATTAAATGGACAGTCATTTCATTTATTGAAAAACAAAACGAATACAGTGATATTTACATTTGAAGTAATCCAGCTGGAGCTTAAATCTGATAAAACTGAGGACAGCTAGTGTTTTTTTTTAATCAGGCTAATGTAGAAATTGACAGAATTCAACTACACCTCACAAATGAAGCAATAAAAACCCTCCAAAACTATGAAAAATACATTTCTGTATTGTCCTCTTTTTTTCATTATGTTCTAATTTGTAGTATTCATTTATGAAAATACGCATATTTGGTTTACTTTGGGATTTAAATCAAGCAAAGCTAACCACCTTTATCCACCTTCAGTGTAGAGACTGAAAAGCTTTAAGTGCATATGTCCTTGTAAAAATAATAAAAAAAAATGTGCACCAATAGAACCTTGTAAGAATAGAAAAAACTCAAAATGTGCACTAAAGAATTTATTTTGCTCTACTTTACACTCTCGACGCTGACTTTTTTTAATCTACTGTAAAACATTAGCAATAAAGGGTCTACTTTAGAGTTATAAAATGGTCATATAGGGTTAACTATCTCAATAACAAACTGACATTTGCATCTTCCCCTTATAAAAGGAAGCAGTTAATCTCCTGTAAAACATTATGTTGTAAACATGTATACTAAAAGGCTTTCTATGCTCTTCCCTCCTTATGCCCTGACATGTTTTATTAGCGATAAGCAATAAAAATGTCTGTTGCTTCACTATCATTTCAGACATGTAGCTCTTGATTTCCTCCAGGTAAATTCAAATTAAAAACTCTATCAATTTTCTTCTTCTTTACACAGCTTAGAAAATAAATGAATGTTGTACATCAGCCATTTGCATTAATTTAGCTGATGTGTGTGTCAGTTGTCAGTGTAACTCTCACTGATGGAAGCTCTTCTGCTTCCAAACTGGAACGGGGAACTATGTTGGCATTCAGCTGATAGATTTCTTTCTGATATGCTCGGAGCATGAACTGCCGCAGCAACAGAGCATGGGAAATGTGGATCTGCAGACCGATGGATGTTGTGATAGAAATACAAAATGCCATAATTCACATTCCTGCTTCTCGGTTACGTAGATGGAGGCTTCTCGTTGGAATCTCTGATGATTCAGATGAAACGTAATGCATCAAATCCCACCTGAGCATCAAGAAAAAGCATGGAAAGCTTTGTTTATTTATAACACTGTCCACCTGCAGTGTAAGACTCCAGGTCCATCCATCAGGTTTTTGTTTTTTCTTTCTTCCTTCCTTGACATTTAAACATTAATCAAAGCGTTACGGCAACATCTAACCTTGCGACTCCTATTTATGGACCGCTGAAAGCCCAGTAATTTACACTCATCACTTATTGATGGATGAAGCTTTGACTCGGAGATAAAACACATCTTCAACTTCAATACAGTCTGGTAAATGTGAATGGTATTAGACAAGTCTGTGATGTAATATATAGCTAAATGAGAATAAAATGTTCAATATGGAACTTTGAAGGGATAAATTAGACACATTTCAGGCTCAATTTTAACTTTAAAGTGGATAATACTTCCAGCTCAGATTTAAAATGTTTGTTTTGAGGAATATATCGTCTGATCTGTTACGCTGTGAAAATGTCATAAAAATTACTGCAAACTGGGGAAACTTATTATAACAGAATAATTAGTTTGAATTCAAGCATTACAACCACACTGGGAATCTTCATCTGACAAATAAGAGTTTGCTCAAAGGATTGGAACCATGATTTCACCAAGAAAATGTTTCCTGACATTAAATCTGTGTTTGCAGTGTTTGTGTTGTGACAGTTGTGGTCCTAATTTATAGCAGCTAGACAGAAAACCGACAGCGAGAGAAGAAAGGAAGACAGTAAATGTCCTAACGTCTAATGTGTAGCTCATTCTTGCACGTCTGCTGATGATAATTTATTCAGATAACAGGATCAGATGATCTAGACTAAATAATTAACTGTCAATGATTTGGGTTCAGTTGTAGTTAAAATGATCCATGATTAGTTTTAACAATAGGCTTTGATAAATACTTGTTTTAGATGTAGAAACAGTACAGTAATAATACTGTAGGCTACTTAGTTTTTATACGTTTTAATAAAATATTGTCGCCATGCAACCCTAACCCTAAACCCTAACCCTAACTTTTACCCTACCCCTCTAACATCCTGGATAAATTACGTCTAATGGTCCAACTGCCTGACTCCATCTAGCTAAAACAGTGATGAGAAACATCTTTAAGCTTTTTTAATTTGAACCAGAGAGCGCAGTAGCGCCACCAGTATTGCTGCAGAGCTTCATTAGAATTTAAAGAGCTTCCTGTGCCGTCAGCCTGATGTTCTCTCAGCGTTTTTCGCTTTGGCGGCAGCAAGGTTTAGGCACTTTGTGGATGAAAACTGTCAGCACAACTTTTATTTCTAGCTAGTTAAGGTATCTGTTAGAGCCTTTGTAATTTTGCTCGTACAAATGACTCAAAGTCTTCTGGAGAGAAATGTTGAGAGCATGAATGTTGGTTCTTTGGCAGTTGTGTTCAGCTCTGGCTCTCTCCAATGAGCTTTTCACCTCTGTTTTATTTGTGTTTTGTTTTGTTTTTTACATTACAGTTGATAGTGACACAGTGTGGCATTATCTAAAATTACACCAGTTAAACGCTTTATGATAAACTACTCTGATAAAGTCCTAACTTTCTGAGACTGAATTTTGAGTTTTTGTTAGAACAACTAGAAGTGAAATTGAAATATTTCTTTCTGAGTAATAAACCTATGTGATATATGCTGTAAAAACACAAAATCTAACTGAGTATTTTGGTCTAGTTTCTAGTGGAAATATCGTAATAAACTTATGTAGGACAAAACTAGTTTACTTCTAGTAGCTTCTCAACAAGATATAGGAGCCTGTTTTAAGTAAATAGTTTAATATTAATTTAAAAAGTACTTTTGTGTTCTTTCAATGGTAGATTATTTCACTAAAAACATGGGGATGATATCTTGCCATAAGTGAAATATTAAGAAATTAATTAAAATAAGCAATTTTTTCTTGATCAAAAGTTATTTGTAAGCTATTTTTGTCCTATTTAAGGTATTTGTAGTAAAAACTGGACCAAAAAAACTTGGTAAGATTTTGTGTTTTTGCAGTGTATGAGATTTGCTTTTTCAAATGAGGGGCCAAAACTATTAAACTTTTTCACAGAAGATGAGGTAAATTATGCGTGTAAAAGCCAAACATTCCTCACCCGAGGCTGATGCTGACAACTGGGTTTATTTCTTTACCGTTGTAAATAAGTGTAAGCCCCTTTTTTCATTCCTGTTAGAGAAAAATCCCTTCTCAAAAACTGTATCTGTGAGCCTGTAAAAAGATTTGGCTTTGGCCCAGTGGTGATGCAAGTGTCTGCAGGGGGAAGCTTATGAGCTGAGCCAGTCTCTGTGATGTTTACAATGACCAGTGAGACTGCAAGGCACAACATTTTCCATGCTAATGACTCAGCCTCTCCTCTGGCCAAGGTCAAGCTGAGGCTCGGTCTGCCTGTCGCTCGGTGGCAGATTGGGTGCAGAGAGGGCGAAAGACTGCCAAATAATCTCCCAGGCTCCAATATCCTCTTGGTTTTGCTGTTCTGCTTTAATCCATGAATTTGTGTGTTTGAAGTGAGTTGGGAAAAGAAAATTAAAAGCAAAATTAAAGGAGCGAGGACACATTGAGGAGTAGGAGCAGCAGCAGCTGTGTTACAGTCCAAAACACCTCAGGTGTCCTGTCATCTGTCGGCTGTCTGATTACTGAGGCGGCAGACGTCCTGACGCATCCTGCGGTGCTGCGCGGCCAAAGGAAACAGCTGTTTATTGGGCTCTGTCGTTCCCAGATAAAAACCCACTGTTGCTTTGATTCGACTCGTTCTTGCCTCATAGATGTTTGACGAGATGGCTGTTTGCGTCGAGAGGCTCGTTCTCTGGGCTGCTTCTGTTTATCGCTCTGTTTGTGTCGGAGCCTGCAGGGCATAAAGTAACTGCATAATCAACACTTGTTTACTGAGGAGGGAAAGATTAACAAAGGGGGATGGAAATGTGGATTTTTCTTTCTGTTTTAGGGGGACGTCTCAGTGGATAGGTGCCAGGCTGTTTTGGTTTTTGTAATTATCAAAGGAATTCAGGTGGAAATGTTTTAGCTCTGACCAAAATCTGAAATATTTTGGTTTGGAACGTTGGAAAGGAGAATTGAAGAAGGTCTACAGATTCATGAACGATACAGATATGGATAATATCCGTCCGTCCATCCATCCATCCATCCATCAGTCCATTCGTCCATCCATCCATCCATCCATCCATCCATCCATCCATCCATCCATCCATCCATCCATCCATCCATCCATTCCATCCATCCGTCCGTCCATCCATCAGTCCATCCGTCCATCCATCCATCCATCCATCCATCCATCCATCCATCCATCCATCCATCCATCCATCCATCCATCCATCCATCCATCCATCCATCCATCCATCCATTCATCCATCCATCCATCCATCCGTCTGTCAGTCCATCCATATTTTTGTCCTTCCTCCCTCCCTCCATCTTGGCCACTCTTCAAAATAGGAAAGACATGAAAACATTTCCATTGAACTAATGGAATTGTTGCCATTTTTCTCACCTACAGTAACAAAAATGCTAATAAAGGTCAGAACAGTAGAAAACAGTGCTGAGTTCCCATGGCTACCATCTGATGCCAGGTGTTTGTTTACATTTCTTTCCTACCATGGCAAATGTAAACATGCAGTTTGGTCAGCTCAGTTGAGACTTTAACTGGAACCAAATGCTTCCCTCAGATGACACTGAGATGTAACGTATTGACAGCAGAGAAACTGCAACAGGTGGGTTTGAACAAGTGGGAAAACACCTCATGCCCACTGTGACGTACGGCAGTGGATTAGTGATGCTGTGGGCCTGTCTTTATGAAACGACTGTATCAATAAATCTCAGTTTTCTGTTTCTCTTCCGGTTGCCTTGGGCATCTAAAACTGATTTAAACATCTTAAGATAAAATAAAATGTCACTTGTGTTTTTATTTAAAATGTTTTAATGCGAATGAAATCTGTCAGAAGGTAAATGCTTGCTCACGACATTCCCATAGTGCGTGGACTTCAATTATGCATTGTTATGTTGAGATGAATCCGCAGACAGTGATCTTTCTCTGACATGCCCTCTAATTAATTTGCACATCATTAAGGCGGCTTGAAGCTACGGCTCTGCTGTCATTCCTCTGAGTTAAATTATGTTTCAGTATCAATCTACATCATTTGTCAGATGTCTGACGGCAGGATTAATATAAAAATCCAGAACAAAACGAAGCTGCGGTTAGATTACTAAAAATATAGTATTAATATTTCTGTGCTGCACTGCTGCCCTCTGTTGGTCACATTCAGGACAGTGGTTAACATTTTAACTTTTCCCCATTAAACATGTGACTAGATATGTTCAGGGCAAACTTTTGCATGAGTTGTTGAAAATATGATCCCAACCCGACCCGAAACGTTTGATTTTTCTGATCTCATCAGCTCATTCTACCAAGTCTGTCACCTTGCACTCATTATTTCCCACCGGCCACTCGACTCATTGTATCTCATGCATTAATAATGCGCTCCACTCGCTGCATAATGTAGTCTGCACGGCGAGCCGGGGAGCGAGTAAAAAGGAGATGAGCTCACCTTGGTGATCGTCTCAATGAGGCGACTGTGGAAAAAAAAAGGAGACAGCCCCATTACTTAGGAGGGAAAATGAGAGTTAGCTCATTAAAAGTGTTTCTCCTACTGCTGCCTCCGTCTGCTCACACAAATCAGGATGCTTTGAGAAAGGTAGCTGTGTTCTCCTTGACTAGCTAAGGTGACTGGGCGCCAGCCAGATGAGTAAATTTGTCAGCCTGCTGCTTCCAGTCCGCATAAAGGACCTTTTAAAGCTGCCGCCGGTGGAGACAGCCATGCGGCGGAGAAATTTATAGATATATATTTGCAAACGTACTTTAGCTTTGGTTGGTGCTTCGCTGCTCTGTCCGTTTCAGCTCCTGCTGCGCTACGCCTGCAGGGTGCTTTGCTCTCCGGCTACCGGCCTTGTTCCTTCACTTCACACCTCCACAAGGACGGTGGGTGTTTTAATTAGCTGTACAGCCTCCACTGGGAGGATTTTTTTAGACTTTGTATACGGTGCCCTTCAAACATTTCTGTACCTCCTGAACTTTTTCTCAGTTTACATTAAAAAACACATTTAGATGAATTTTATTTGAGAGAGCAACACAAAGTGGTGAATAAGTGGAAGGAAAATGATTGGAAAATGTTTCAGAAATACAGAATTAGAAAATGTAACATGTATTCACCCTGTTTTACTCTGCAACCCTTAATAAAAATCCAGCTAATGGAGCTTTGTTTGTTTAATTGTGTGGTCCATTTGTGGCCCTCGGACTGGTTTTACGCGGCTCCCTACTGCAATTCAAAAATGATGCAAATTACTTTGAATATGTAATCACAGCAAAATTTATACCAACATAATTTTTCACTCAGAAAAATGTAAAAGTGTTCATCATTGTGTTACCAATGTTTTAAATAAATGTTACATCCAGTGACTTTATACTAAAAAATTAAAGCTTTTTTTTTTTCTTTATTAAGCTTGGCTAAATATAGCAAATGTTTTGAAACACTTATTATTATTGCCAAAAAACTTTTAAATTAATTTCAGAAATTTTCTAAAAAAAACGACGAAATTTACTGAAAAAAAAGGAAAATTTGTTAGATTATTATCAGAAATTTTCTCCAAAAACATTGAAATGTCTGAATTTCACATGTAGAATTTCCTTTTTCAAAGATTTTCTGCAATTAACCCCACAATTTCAGAGTTTTGGGCACATATTTACTCCTAAATGACACCGTCCTAAAAATCATTTTCAAGTTTTGGATCTGCAATAAATATCAAGCTCCTGTATTTGCTTGATTTTTGGTGTTTTTTTGGCCCACAACTATGTTTGAGTCTACAATCTACTTGGCAAAAACACCCCTGATTTAATTTAATAAACTTAAAAACAGCGTTGATGTGCTACCTCTCCCTGGTTTAGGTGTGATTGTAATCAATTCAACAGCAACTGCACTGATGTTATGAAATAAAACAGTAGAATTGTTAAAAAATTTTGCCTCTTCCTACTTTTATTTGCATAACTAGTTCAAACGAGTCACCGTCTGTGCCAGTTTGCAGCACAGATGATGCAGCATCTCCTCTGCTCTGATCCCACATTGTTCCCGGTCAGTCTAGCAACACGTCTCTGCACAGCGAGTAACAAGCCTAAGCAACTATCAGCGCAGTTGTTGCGCCAGCAGAGAAATAACCGTTGGGTTCATTTCGAGGAACGCAGCCGAGTTGTGTTTCGGTCAACAGGGTGTGTGGAGATTAAAAGCCGCTGTGATTTATGATCTCAGCTATCGGTGCTGTTTGTGCTGCAGTGTGTAGGTTTCACTGAGACAAACTAAGATTAAATGGATGATGTCAGTCAGGAAAATGGTAACATAAAAAATTACGGTGGAACTTTCTATTTGTTCTATACACAGTTAAGCAAGACAGAGGGAGTTCTGTAATTTTTTTGATTTTTCTGCATAGAACTTGAACTAAATATTTATTTAATACAATTTAGTTGCAACAAGACAGTTTCTGTTATGACTGTTCACATCTTTCTTGTTCCTGCTACTCATTTTTCTGAGCCAAAGAGGTTCTCTAGTTTAGTTCCCTCATCTATTTTATTCATTTTCAGCTCTTCTTTATAATATTCTCTGAAATACATGTTGAATTGTACCAAATTAACAGGAAAAAAAAGACAATTTCCAGACCACCAAAATACTAGAAATGAAATTAATCTTACAAAGAAACTTTTTAGCAAGATATAGAGGCTTGTTTTTAAAATAATTACTTGATATTGGTGGAAAAAGTTACATTTTTAGATGATTTAACTTATAACAAGACATTTTTCTATATTATAAGTTAATTTATCTGCCTACAGCACAAGTACTTTTGAATCAAAATGTCGTTCGATGTCATTTTGATTGGTTTCCTTCTTCTTCTTCCAGAGGAGATCTTCCACTCACATATTGCCCACTGGTGGTCTCCTGATGGAGCCAGGTTAGCCTACGCTACCATCAACGACACTCTGGTGCCGAAGATGGAGCTGCCAATGTTCACTGGATCCCCCTACCCTATGGGGAAGGAATATCCATACCCAAAGGTATGCATACCGACTCCTACTACAACACTGCTGCGATATAGTTTGCACAATCAGAACGAGACGCTTTCGTCCTGTTCAGGCTGGAGAGGAGAACCCGGTCATAACGCTGTATGTTGTGAACCTCAACGGCCCTCTGCACACCATCGAGATGAAACGACCTGATGATCCCAGGATCGGGTGAGACATATTCAGCTTTTAGGCTGCATTAGTAAATATTATCATTTCAAACCTGGAAAACATAACCAGCAAGAATGGACTTGGTAAAGACAATGTACACTTTTCTCATTTTGCTTTTGTGGATCATCTGAGAACTGCTTCAGCTTCCAGATGGACGTTCTTAACTTGTTTTTTAGGCGGCCGCATGGTGTGGACTTCACAGTTAAACCAGTTACTGCGAGCTGCTCGCTCTCTATTGCTGCAAATGCATTTCCAGCACCAGGCCTCACAGCCGGTCAGAAAGCATGTTAAAAAACTTTGTCTGACAAAGTTACTGGACAACTGATTTGATTGTTTCTTTTAGCTCCAGCTGTAAAACGCCGCAAGTATAAAAGTTTCACTGGAAGGTATTTTTCCAGGCCAAATCCATTAACGTTCACATTTGTACTGTCTGGGCCATTTGTATCGATCTGTGCTTTCTGTGATGCTTTGACCTACAGAAACAGAGTTAAGTCTGTTTCTCTTGAACAATTACAGCTTAAAAAAAAAAGATAACAGCCCTGAAAATATGTTTTTAGCCTTTCTGCCATGGCGGGTCATTAATAATTTGCACTAGTTGCTGTAAAACACAGTTTTTACTTTTATATAGGTAGAACCATAATTGCCCACAAAGTTATTTAAAAGCCATAAAGCATTGTGAATTAGTGGTTAATGCTACTAAAAGCAGAGAGCTCATTTTCTCTGAGGGGTGTCAAATTAATTTTCGTTTTGGACCAAATCAAGGTCATAAAAGCTCTTAAAGGGTCGGTTGTTAAGACCTGTTCAGAAACTGTTAAAATATCAATGAATTATTAAAATTAAGTAATATTTTTTTTAAACATCTTTTCAGTTCCTCAAGGATTTTGTGATTTTTTTCCAATAAAAAATTATTTAGAAATATTTGCTCTTATATATAATGGTAAATGCAACTTTTTCTCACTTTCTGTAGAATAATCTGACCTTAATTAAAGCTGAAGCAGCTGTTTAGTACAATTAAAATGTTTGTCTCACTGTTTCTTACATTTGTGTAAGAAGTTGTTTTTTTTTTATTTAGCCTCAAAACTTTTCTTAAAATAATCTCAGTACAACAATAATATCGTTTATTGCAATAGTTTTTGGGACAATTTATCATCCAGTGACAGGCCTAATTATAATTTATTTAAAAATTAACCTCTGAATAAATGCAAACAACAACATTCAAATCAAAACATTTTAATATTTTAACTTTTTAGTTTTTACGTTATTACTGTAAACATGTTTCTTTGCCTCAAATTAACTTGTCAGGTAAAATAAAAAAAGCAGAAAAAGCTTCACATGAATGTCCTCATTAGAGTCCATTTATGTAAAAATACATTTTCTGCTGCTGTTAAGCTGAATTTGAAATGCACATTAATTTAATGTGCACCTCAATCTTTATAAAGGTAATATTTGTTATGCATTCTCCATGTGCTTCTCTATTATATCTTTCTGTGTGATTTTTCTAATGTAATTTAGTTTTACTATCATCTGCAGTCAGCTAATGGACGGTTCCAATGCTTTTATGCACTCATGGTTTATTCAAGCCGCACAGCGTGAAGCTGTTAACTGTGTTTTTCAGTGAGTACTACGTGACAATGGTGAAGTGGGCCACCACGACCAAACTGGCCATTAACTGGCTGAACCGAGCCCAGAACATTTCCATGCTGACGCTGTGTGAGGCCACAACGGGAGTCTGCACAAAGGTACGGTCCGGCGTGCGTCTTATGAGAGCTGTTTGTGCCTGAGGCGGTTTCCGTGCGTCGACTGAAAACTGGCAATCTGTTCTTCCAGAAACACGAAGATGAAAGCGAAGGCTGGCTCTACAGGCAGGTGAGGATGTTCAACACATTTCTAACTCGTGTTTGGGGCTTTTGATGAACATCTTCAGGGATTCATTTCTCAAACTGATGGTTTAATTTGGTAAATTTGCTTTGTTTTCTCACATTTTCTGCCTGATTACAGACTTGTTTCATTGCTAATTGGGTCATTGTTCTTTTTTATGTTTTAGCAGTCGTTTGATTGTGGTTTTCTCACTCACAGAAGTGGAAAATCTTTCCTTCTCTTCAGAATGAGGAGCCTCTGTTTTCTAAAGACGGCCTGAAGCTTTTCTTCACGCGCGCCATTCCCCAAGGAGGCCGGGGGAAGTTCTTCCACATCTCCATGTCCGTCTCCCAGGTCAGAGGTCATTAGGCGACAGTCACTTGTCCTATTCCAGCCGAGCGACAGATCAAACTTATGCATGTGAAATTTTGAGTTCATTCATGAGGCTGTGCATATGTGCTGCAAGTTTCTTTGCAGCACATGTGCTACAAATATGATGCTGCATGAGTCCTTCATTGTTGACCTGTTAATTTTTTCAGATTAATTGCTTGGTAGGTGTTCCTCTAGCTAAATAGAAGTGAGTGCATCCTTTGTGGTTGTTTCTGCAGTATGCCTCTGTGTACCTCACCTCTCACTTAATGACTTTTGGAGTTGGGCACTTGCTCCTGTGACCCTGCAGGGAAAAGCTGCGACAGCCACAGGATGGATGGTGCAGCTTCTTTCCTAATAACATTAAAAAGAAAGTGAAAATCAGACCTTGAACTGGCCGTAAACCAGTCCTCTTTCCTTCTTCCTCCATCACCAGCTACATTTTTCAACACATAACGCATTAAGTCACTGAACACTTTAAGGATGCTCAGATTTATCCCTGCAGCATGGCGCAACGTGCAGTAACTGCTGCCAGCAGGTAGATGAATGTGCTTCAGGCTTTCAGCTGCAATAGACAAACAGCAGCTGTGCACCTCCTAAATGAGCAATAAAGTAAAGTGTGAAAGTTGCTCTGCTTTAGACGCTCGCTGCCCGTCTGGCCGGTGGCTACGCTCAGGGCTGTATCTGTGAAGGGAACGCAGATATATGGCCACCTAACACCCTCAGCAGTCTGAAAAATCAGCTGGTAGAAGGAATCAGTCTAAATATAAAGTTACTCTTCCCATTTACTGCTCACATTTCAACTGAAAACTGATTTTACTGGTGGTATAAAGATTGCCTCAGTTATATAGAACACTATTATGTACTGTAGATATAGTTAATGTCTTCATATATATATATGTATTCAAAGGTATTAAAACTTTAAAATGATTTTATGTGATGGACCAACACAAAGTAATGCGAATTTTTCAGGTGGAAACATTTTTTTTTCTAAAATATGAAGGAAAATGCTCCAATCAAATGAGATCAAAATTACAATAACTGAGTGGAAAAACTCCAATGTCACCAAGATTAAAGCACAGCTCTTAAAATTACCACACTATATTCCAGTAAGATGTTATTTATAAACACATTCTAATCAGTTTGCCAACATTTTTCTAATCAAATGGACTTATATTATATATCATCTTATCAGCATCTAAAGTTAATGAAAGGTAACACTACTATCAAAAGGCGGTGATACTGAAATCTTTCCTTTCTAACGTTTTTTTTTTTTCTTCTGTATTCCTGAAGCCCAACACCAGCACCGACACGCTGCAGTCCATCACATCTGGAGACTGGGATGTCACTCAGGTTCTGGCCTACAACGAGGAAAACCAGCTCATGTAAGTTTCTTTTTTCTTTTTTTTTTTTTTTTTTTTTTTTTGCTTCTGTTTTAAAACGTAATCATTTTAAGATTAGTGATGCTATTTTCTTCCTCATATGCAAATCTAAGTATGGTTGTTTTTTGTGCAAAATATGCAAATTTTTACATTATCTGAGTATTTATTTTGATTTAACTCTATAAATACTTTTGCTTCATTTAAAATGTTTGTCGTCAGATTAATGATTGGAATGAACAATTTCAAAGTTTCCTAAATATATGGCGTACCTCTGGTTTCTCTGGTTTAGCTCTGATCCCTCTTTAACTTGAGAACTTTTCTTTCAAGTTGATAAATAAAGCAGTTGTGTTTTAATATGCCGTTCAGAAAAACAACTAACTTCAAGACTCTACATGAAAATAAATGTTTGTAAGAAGAAGCAGCTTTGAGGGTGAAGATGTGCCCCACTTCTTTTCTAAAACCGACGGCCCCTCTCCTCTTATTTCCTCTATTTTTTACTTATGAAGCATCTATTTCAGTGAGCAGCTGGGTTCCAGGTGGTTTTCTTCTCAACTCACACATGTAAACTGTGAACGCTGCTGAAAAGTTTAGAGCCGCACTCAACAGCAGTGCATTACTTCTCCTATTCACGCCTTCTCCCTCTGGTAACTCAGATACTTCCTGAGTACTGAAGACGGACCAAAACGAAGACATCTGTACAGGTAACGGTCGCTCTGAAGGAAAACTGTTTCAGCCTGTTGAAAATGCTGGAACTGAAAGGTTTGGGTTTTGTCCGTGCAGCGCCGACACGTTTGGATCGTTTAACCGGCGCTGCCTGTCGTGCGCCTTGGCCGACAGCTGCGGCTACATCAGCGGCTCTTTCAGCCACAACATGAGCTACTTCCTGCTCAACTGCCAAGGTACAAACCATCCAGAGTGTGTCCAGATTCAGGGCTTTTGATCCCCTTTATTAGTTGTTTGTGTAACTTTTACAGAAATATGTTTTTTCCTCCATATTTTTTGAAACAATCACCATTTTGTCAGAATTTAAGAGACAAATAATCTATGAAAACATCAATCTTCTCCGCCCCCTGCTTGAGCTATTAAGAGCTGTCTGAAGAAATGCACCGCTCCCGGTCAAAAACAACCAATCACAGCCAAGAGGAGAGTCTTAGCGCTGGCAATCAGCTGTATGTATGTGATGCTCAATGTGCTAATGGAGGAGAAAAAACTCACCGTTACAGAAAAACGGTTTATTAGATAAAACTTTCTGTATCGTACAGGAAAGGAGAAGGGAATGAGCATGAGTGATTGACAGCGCTAAGTCCCTCCTACTGTTTCTGATTGGTTATATACGATTCAGTAGTGTATTTCTGCAGTTTGTACTGGGAGCACTGGGAGAAAGCAAATATCTTGATTTATTCACAGAGTATCCATATTATATCACGACATCATAATAAATTTAACAAAAACGTAAAAAACATTTTTTATAAAAGTTACGCACTGTTTGTTTGGTTTCCATCTGCATGTGAGTTCAAAAATGTTTTCTAAAGAGTGGTGAAAGTTCTGTGACTTAAAAGTTGCCGTCCAACTTCTTTAAACCGTTCATGACGAGGCAGCAGCAGAGGATGATGAGGATGATGATGTGGGAATCTTTGATCTCCTTCTGCTGTGTCAGACATGAACATGCCCAAAGAACGGATAAAAAACCATCCCCAGATCAGAGGAATATCTGGATGTCGAAGCGCCTTTGTTGTGAGGGAAAAGGTTTGAAGACAGTAGCTTCAATATTTAATCATTACGTAGCGCTTCAGTGACAATCAGCTCTGAATCTGAATTTAAGAGCAGACACAAAATGACCATAATGGCATCAAAGCCCACTCTGCTGACCTGCTCTGCAGTCTGAGCTTGTACCTCATGGATTTTTAATCCACTTCACTGCCTCGCAGCCTGCCTCTGATCACATTTGGTGAGGTTTTGATATCATCATCATGAGAGGAAGGAACAAAAAGATGATTTACAGCGGATGCTGCCGCAACATTTCTGTGTTCTCAATCTGCTAAGTGCATCGATCACTTGGTTTGCCGCTGCTCCTCCCTCTGCGTCTGCAGTTTCTGGGCTTTGTTTCTGCTTGTGGCCCAGATACAGAAAAGCTGCTCCCGCTATTGCACTAAATAAATCGAATAAGCAAAGATTTGTCTGGAGCACAGAAATCCTGGCATACATTCTTCTCTTATTATTTCCATTATCTACAGGAGCCAGCAAAAGCATAAAACCCTTGAAATGTTTCACATTTTATGTTGTCAATCACAAATAGTAAAGTGTTTTATGCTACTAAACTTAGAACTAGATCTTTTTCATCAATATGAAGGCATTATTTATTTGAAAAAGCTCCTACGTCTTGCTGAAAAGTTACTTGTAAGTTAGTTTTGTCTTAATTCAAGTAGATTGAGATATTTGGACAAGAAACTTGACAAAAAATACTGAGTAATATTTTGACTTTTTGCAGTGTTTGGTAAAATTGCTGCTCACAGGTGATCCAACTTAAAAAAAAGAGTTGCTACAAGTAACCACATGAAGTTTATCCAGTAAATATAATAACTTTATTAAGCCATCATATTATTAAATAAATTTTAAAGATGCTCATTTTGATTACATGAAACAAATGAGCTCAGTTTATTTAATTGAGTAAATTTCACCAACTTTATCGCAGCCCCAGTTTGTCATAAAATACATTAACATATGTGGCTGTAACATGATCCAAATTAGAAAAATGCAGAGGGTCTTGATGGTTTTTACAGGGTGCTGTAAAGCAAAATTCAGAAATTGTGCAGCTGTAACTCTTTTAATGTGTGTTTGCAGGTCCAGATATCCCTTTTGTGGCCGTGTACAAAACCCAGAGAGATGCAGAAAGTGAGACACAAGACAGAGAAAGTGAGTACACCCTGCAGGTGCTGTTACTAAAGCACCTATTGGATTATGTTCCTGACACTGAGAGCGTTAAAATCACCTTGACAGCAGGGGGTCCTCGGAGCAGAATGACCACCTGAGTCACTGTTTGTCTGCAAGCCAAGCCAGAAATGATGTTGGTAATCACATTATTCCCGCTCATTACATTATGACTTGCTGCAACAGCAACGTCAGCATACTGTAATGTGATTTTTCTCTTTAAGTAATAACATCAGCTCTACTGAATGCCATTAAAAAGTGTGTAGGTTGCTGTAAATCACATCAGTATCTAATGTTTATGATTAACCTGATTAGGAATGTCAAACAGATTTTATAGTCTGAGGAAAAAACGCAGCTGCTGTCAGATGATGCATCTGCAAACATGCACTTTGAAGAAATTAATTAGCAATGATCGTCTTACCAGTCACAGTTCAATAACCTTTATTTAGTATTGAAGCGCCCCCAAGTGGCCAGATAATTGATGAACGAATGTAACTTCACCAGGACAGGGTGCAGACATCAGTTTGTAGCCTAATATCGCTTCTATTCATCTGATTTCACTTGAAAAATGGCCACAGGATGCAAAACAAACATGTAGTTTTATTTTTTAACTTTTAATGAGGAAAGATACGGAGGTGAGTCAGTCGTAATGACCGTCACCCCTCAGTGTAATCGCGGATTGGCAGCGAATGCTTTTTACAAGATCCAAAAACTAACGTTCGTTTTCTTCATAATGGAGACAGTGCTGCATTGTCATGTAGCTTGGCATGTATGGAAGAAACTCGTTAGCATCTCGTCTTCTGTACGTTTTTAATGGCTTTAAGAGGAAATGCTGTTTATGACACGGAGACATAAATCATGTGTTGTGAATTCAGGCCAAGTCAATAATTTAATCAACACGTCAGGTTTGGGTCGGTTTCTTTAAGCTGTTTATTATAACAGTTCTGACCTGATTCTGGAGGTGAGAGATTAAAAAAAAAGAGATGGTCAAGAAAAGCCTTCATGACAGACCCAACGGAAACAAGGTCAAATGAATTCATCTACATGTAGGTGCTGAAGCATGTGTGGACTCTCTCCTGCTTCACCGGACCTGTCCTTCCAGCAGCTCAGGAACGTTTATCTGAATCCGTAAGCAGGAGCAGCTGTGGCAGCCGCTGAGTTGATTTCCCTCCTGGAAGTCGCTTGTTTCTGGACATTCGAGGACGAACCAATTCCAACATGCGATGTTCGCCCGTTTGACCTCGCCTGCCGTGGCAGCTGTGCTCCATGAATAAAAGCAGCTGCTTCCCTGTGCAGCTTGAAACACACGTGTGTGTGTGTGTGTGTGTGTGTGTGTGTGTGTGTGTGATGTTTGTTTCAAAGAAATGAAGCTAGCTGTAAAAGCAAATCAAGGTCACATTTTCAGCAGGGGTCAGGTGTTTCACCTTTTCTTCTCCTTCTTGGACAGATGTTGTAGCCAGAAGAGTTGCATCTTCTGTGTTCTGCATTGGATTGTGTTTCATCCCGCTGATCGTTCTCTGTCTGCAGGCATTTCAGAGGTTTCTAAACTGGAGAGCAATGAGAACCTCCGGCTGACGCTGGACTCCATGCAGATGCCCACAGTGGAGTACAGGGAGATCAACATGGACGACTACAGTATGTCACGGATACGTTCCAGTGCATCAGAATTGGCACCTTGAATAAAGAGCGAAATGTAAAATAAACTGGAAAAATGATGGATGGGAGCAGGGCTGGAAGGAGGGTTGGAAACATTTACTTCTCACATCTATACCTGGGTGCCAATAAGTGCCGGTATATTTGTAACTTATTTTGATTAAGCTTTGTAAAACAGTTGTTTTTTCAGTTTTGTCTTTAAAGATCCTGAAACCCGCCGGCTTCATGGATACGTCCCACTACCCGCTCCTCCTTCTTGTGTACGTATCTGTGAAATAAATAAAATACTCACGTTATCATGAGCTGATAACGTTTACTCTGTGGCGCAGTGACGGGACACCCGGTGGCCAGACGGTGTCTGAGCGGTTTGTGTTGGACTGGGCCACGGTTCTGGTGAGCAGCTTCGGCGCCATCGTGGTGCGCTGCGACGGGCGGGGCAGCGGCTTCCAGGGCACCAACGTCCTGCACCGGATCCATAAGAAGCTGGGCGTTTTTGAGGAGCAGGATCAGAAGGACGCTCTCGAGTACGAGCCTCTCCTCACCGTCACTGGGCCGGACATCAGAACCATTGCATTTTATCTGAGCAAATAAAAAAATATAGGAAACAATCTCCACCATGAAACAATATATTTCACCATTTCCCATTATCTTTGATGAATCAAGACACCAATCTAGCAAAATTTGAAATGTAAATGTAAAATGTATGAAAAGTTTTTAAGCTTTTATTTAATATTAACAGTGACTTTTTCCGTTAGTTTCATTCTGAAAGAGCCTTATGTGGACCAATCCAGAGTCGGCGCCTTTGGACAGGTAAGATGAGCCTCGTTCCGTTCTGCTCCTGAACGCATCTTGAACTTTTGTTGGATTTCTGTTTTTGTAAATTGAACTGTGATTTTTGCAGAACTGAACCAAAATAAAACAATAGTGCCTTTCTCCATCCGAGTACAAAAACAAGATTATTAACTTAATCTGGATCAGATTTGAAGTTTTTTAATTTGACAATGTTGAATAGGAAAAACAATTTCAAACTAAACCGCAATGATATCTGGATATTTGTTCAAAAAGGCAGCATGTTGCCTTTGAACTAAGCTTTTTGTCTTTCTGCTGCCTACATATTTTACCACCAGATGTGGATTTCAAGCATTTAATTGGTGAAATAAGTTTAAAACTTATTTCACATTTTAAAAAGGTTCAATTTGTTGATTTTTGTGTGAATTTCTACAATCATAATACAGCTGGTTAATAAAATAATATTTAAGCACACAACTTTTAGACTTAGACTTAGACTTGACTTTATTGATCCCTTGGGAAGACTCCCTCAGGAAATTATAGTTACCAGCAGCTCACAGGCAAAAATGTGGCACACAGTAAGCATACACAAAAGAATTTATCTAGAAGGACCTATTTTGTAATTTTTTGCTATAAATTGTTAATTTAAAAGTATTTGCATGGAATTTTGCAATATTTGCTCTTTTGTATGATGTTAAATGTGACTTTTTATTACTTGCAAATAATTGATCACAGACTACAAGTGGAGAAGTAAAACATACTGCCACCTACAGGTGGGAGTTGCCCATATTTTTGATAATTTTTCTGGAAAATCTTCAGTAAACCAATTATGCATTGGCTAAAAATGCTGCAATTTGTTGATTTTTGTGTGTTGCCTAATTAGATTTGCTTGTAAGCAGATAATACCCCTTTAATTTTATTAGTAAAATAATATTTAAGCACACAACTTGAAGGTTTGTATTTATGCATAAGTCTAGAGTATAGAGGGCCACATAAAAAGCTACGGCGGGCCGGATTTGGCCCCGGAGCCTTTTGTTTGACACCTCTTGGTTGATTCGATTCGTAAAGTTCCAACTTGAGAGAAAAGAAGAAATAATTTGATTCTTCAGAGTAGTGTTGTTGAAGTAGATTGGAAAAACCCTTTGGGGTGAAGCTTTCACAAGCGAACTAATCCTGCTCTGTGGTCGACTTTGCTGCTTAAGCGCATATTGGTGCTCAGAAGCAAACGGACTGAAAAAAACCCCCAGAATTCACTTCAGCGTCGCCTCGGCTCTTGTACTTGCTGCTCTTGCTGCATTGCGTGTGATAACAGTTGTTGTTCCTCAGGTGTACGGCGGCTATGTGACCAGCCTGTTGCTCAGCGGCGAGGAATCGCCAATAAAATGCGGCTCTGTCCTCTCACCCATCACCGACTTTGAATTATACGGTAAGCCCTTCATTCTTTTAGCTTTTATCTGCGCTCTGAAATGCAAAATGTTTCAGTCTCGGCCGGAGCCGTCAGAATGTTCTGGAAGGTGAAATAAAGACAGATAGCATCTCCAGCACCTTTACCCCCTTTCTGGGAATCTGGAGCGGGTGTGTTGGAGCAGCTGCACTCAGAACCCAATCATACACAGCCTCACCTCATCCATCTGAGGAATATAAGGTGTGAGATGTAGAATGAGATGTGTATCAGGAGAGCGATGGTTGTTTCAGCCGCAGAAATATAGAAATACAGTCGAGAAACTGAAAATCAGAGAGAAGCTGGGCCATTTTTCTCACTTTGAATTGGTACAACAAAGGAAAAACAGGTTTACACAAACACACGTCATCAATTTTATGCTTTTCCGTATTGGAACCGTTCAATGGATGACAGGAGTTCATTTAAAAAACAAAGAACGGGCTGGCAGTTTTCTTATTTGTTGGTTTTCTCATAACAAGCAAATAGAACCAGCACTTTTTAACAGTATTCAAGAATCATTGACTCTTGTAGCTCTTCTATCAGCTGAAAAGTTACTAGTAACTTATTTTAAGATTTTTGCAATAGAAACTAGACCAAAATACTTGGCCGGACTTTGTGTTTTTACAGTAAAGAGTCAAGATTTTTTGTTGCCACCAATAAGCAGTTCGTGCAAATCTAGACCACTTTTCTTTGCATGGCTCAAAATCTCCTTTAGAGGCCCAAAATTGTTTTCAAACCATGACGGATTTGCTTTTACTTTTCATTTTTATGTTTTTTCCAGCCTCTGCTTTTTCTGAAAGATATCTGGGTCTGCCTAAACCGGATCCCAGATCATACACGGTACGTCTTCATCTCAAGGCTTTTCCTGTTTATCTGTGGTTCTCACTAAAAGCATCAACTCCATCCTGTTTCTGGTCTTAGATGGCAAATTTAGCCCACCGAGCGTCTCAGTTCCTGGACAAGAAGTTCCTCATCGTTCACCCGACAGCTGATGGTACAACTGCAGGTCAAAGTTCTCTTTTCTAATATCTTATAAAGAAACGTCGATGACATTCTTGTCTCTGTGTCCTCAGAAAAAGTTCACTTCCAACACACAGCGAAATTTATTTCCCAGCTCATTAGTGAAAAGGCCAACTACACCTTGCAGGTACGTCGTTTCATTTCTAATTTGGTTCAATCTGTCAGCCTTTGGGAGGTTTCTGATCCCTGCAAATGCTCCCCATGTTTTCTATTCATCTAGCACAGAACTGTAGCGGAATAATTACCAGGGCTCACAGACATCTGGAGTCGGCTTTTTCTTTTCCATTTCCAATAAAAACTCTTTAAAAAATACCAGTTGACTCTTGATTTCACTTTTCAACTCTCACAAAAGAGGGATGACGACCAAGAGTTTTCTCCTTTATGGATCTCATTATGGGAAAAAAAAAATCAAATGCAGAAGTTAGAATTAATTTTAAAAATAGCCTGAATCATAAACTTTCCATTCTTGTTCCCCTCAAACTTATTGATCCCTTAAAAGCAGCATCTAATTGGCAAATATCTGAAGGAGATCCACCAGGACCAATTAGTGGTTCTCTTTTGGTTAATTTATGCTCCAACTTTTGTTTTTTGAGGCTCAACAGATTTACTTTCACAAGCATATATATATATATATATATATATATATATATATATATATATATATATATATATATATGCTTATATATATAAAACCTCCTGGTTTTTCCACTAAATGTTGATTTCTGAACTCTTCCTGAGTTAAAACATCAGTATTATTGTTTCTAAATGAACATGAACTTGTTTTCTTTGCATTATTTGAGGTCTGAAAGCTCTGCATCTTTTCTGTTATTTGACCATTTCTTATTTTCTGCAAATAAATACTAAAGTTTTGCTTGAAATTTCAGAGACATGTTGTCTGTAGTTCATAGAATAAAAGAACAATGCTCATTTTACTCAAACATAAACATATAAAAGTAAAATCAGAGATTTATCATTTCGAGTGGTCTCTTCATTTTTCCAGAGCTGTGCTCCTTTTCAAAGAAAAGTAATAAAATAATCATTTTGTTCTTGGTTTTTCTCTGTCCTGATTGCTTTTTTTAAACCTGTTTGAAATAAATAAATATTTAGTTTCAAACCCAACCTTTTTTCACTCTGTCCCTGTCAGATCTACCCAGACGAGGGTCACTTTGTCCACAGCGACGCAACAAGGCAGCACCTGAGTCAATCCCTGGTGAATTTCTTTGAGGAGTGCTTCAGGCTACCAGAAAGCGTGTTTGAGGAGGAGCTGGAAGAGGAGGTTGAGGACGAGGGTTAGATTTTCTTCGACAGGCTGCCGTTTCTCTTTGCTCATTCACTCCATTTGGTCCGACATTCCCTCCGTGTTGTATCCGTGCCCGAGAGCGAGTTGTCCATTATGCAACCCTCATCCTCCGTGTGTTTCGGTTGAACTCGCTGTGTCTACAACGCCGTCCAGCGGACGACGGATCTGTCCTCCCCTGTTCATCCGATGGATTTCCAAAAGCCTGATGACCCACAGGAAGTCCAGAACCAGTCTCCTTTACAGCAGGATGGACGTCTTTAAAAGCAACGGAGAGAAAGCTAAAGCCTACACACTGACTTTCAGGCTGTGAGGAGAAGAAACGTTACAGCACACAACCTACATGGGCTTGTAGATAAATGAAATTCAGAACCCTGGCGCTGATCGGCAGTGTTCGTAAGGGGCGTCTGGAACTGCGAGGATACAGGGAACTTTACTATTTTTGAAGTCGTGATGAACTTTTCATGGACTGTGGTTGTCTCTGTTGTTAACAGTATGTAAAATAGCACACAAATGCTCATCTTTTATTTGCGTCAACAATGCTTTAGGTCAGTGTCTGTTTCAATTATGCTGGGACGAGTTTTACGGGGAAAGAAATAAGCCATTTTGTTTAGATTATACATTTGACATCGTTCCGTTTCGGTTTCCTCCGACAATAGCATTTTCTTGATTTATTCACGGTGCCTTACTTTATCAGAAAACATGAAGATAAATTGATCTAATACAAAAAAGCCAAGATAGTGATTCAGACCTTCAACCACAGTATCTTACTGCAGCGAGTGATTTAATGGTTTTAAGCCTGGAAAGCATGCATGAATGGAGTTTAGACAAACATAGAAAACTTCCCAGCAAGGGTATAAAAATATAAATTACTATAAAAGGGTCTTTTTTCAACTAGAGTTTACTTAGTTACTTTGTTTTTTTTTTTAGAAAAAGCAGCTTATTTCTTTTTGAAAATATTTATATTACCTCCTTCTTACATGAAACCAGGCTAAGGATAAATATTCCTGAGCTTATCTAGGTTGTTATTTGCTTGCTTTCCAACAACTACTTTTTAAAAACTGACATTTTTGCCCACTAGTTTTAAAACTAAAAGCAAAGCGAAGCTGCAAGATCTTATAGCTAATGATCAGCGTGGTGCTTGTTTTACTTTGCACAAAAACTAAATGTCCTTTAATAGCATTTCTAATGCTAAATGTAACATTATTTTTGCTTTTAATAGTGTTTTTAACTTTCTAGCAGTGCGGGTAATTTTATTTTTCTGCTAGTTTCATATCAGCCGTTCAACTTGGCTGACATCTTTATGCTAATCTATGATTATTCTCTATAATGTCCAAAATTAGGTTCATTTCAATGCAATATTTGAAAAGTAAATATTTGGGGGTAACATGACAAATTTTGTTATTTCTAATAATTTTAAAAACTGAGTGAATTGAACGAAGTTTGGGATTATTTTCATTTAACAGTAAATACCAGGTTACACATAAATTTCACGTCTGCAGAGGAAGCCAAGCTAATCACTGAAATGAATATATCAGGCACAAGTTTATTTATTTATGTTGCACTCCAGTGCATGTTCCGACATGCTTTGCTACGTTATCCGTCATTTCTCAGTTCGTCATCGTAAAGTTTGACATCCTGAATGTTTTTTTTACAGAACTGCATAAACTATATTTGCAGTAGTATTGTGATTGAGATCACGGTCTCGTTAGCTTGATGTGTAAATGTTCTACTATCATTTTATTTTGAGAAGAAGAGGAAGAAGAAAAACAATGTTATCCGAGTCTTACTAGTGCATAACATACTTTGGACGTTACGTTCGGTTGTTCATTTTTGTTCTCCTTTTGCCGTCGTTGAACTGAGCTGGAAGCGGACTTTATAAATGGCCAATGGAAACAAACTTTCTTTCTACACATGGAGGACTTTTTCCAAGATGTTCAACTTTGTTATCCAAAGCATACAGGGATGTCATTGGCAGATTGTGGCATGAAAGTAAGTGTTAGAATAAAAAAGTAGATATTTTATCAGTCATTAATGTTTTTTGATCCTTCTACTTCACAACAGTTTCCACAACAACACAACCATATAATAACACAACATATTACAATACTGCAACTAATGATTATTTTAGCTACAAATTAATCTGATAAAACAATTTTCCAACACTTGTAAACATTGTTAATCACAAATTAATGTTTCAGACAGATTTTGAATGAGGTAAAGCTAAAACAATTCCACATGAGGGTTTTCAGTCAGACATATTAATAGATGACAGTCTATTGTGAAACAAAAAAAAAGTATGTTTGAAAAAAGACATTTTCTTCAAATAAACTTGCACATTTCTGAGTGTGACAAGTTGAAAAATTTCTATAAAAATGCCAAACTTTAACAGAAAATCTTCTCGACTTTTCAAATTTACTTAACTTTTTTTCCGTCTATAATGGTCCCAGTAGATCGTTGTTCTTCTTGCTTATGTGTGAAATTAAAATATTTTTATGCCGTTTTGACTTTCTGCTGAGCTGTGCTGGTCTTTCAGCAAATGGCCTAACGATTAATTGATTAGTTGATTCATGACAATTAATCGTTTCAGTCCGAGTTCAAATGTTTTGAGCCTGTAGCATCCAGTAGACTTTATCCCGTTCTCTTCATGGAAAAAAAATTATATTTGAAACTGTTTCTTATGCCTGAAATTTGTTATTTTGTATTTATTTGTAGTTTTTTTAAATCTTCAAAAAATTCCCAGAATTTGCACATAACTATACTTTTTTGGAAGCTTCCAATGTTACATCAAATGTTATGCATATCATTTCACAAAATACATTTTCAACTACTTTTTACTTTTTGAAATAATGCTGAAATAGTGCTAGTCTTACTACATTTTGAGAATTAGGTCAACATACAGCTGTGTGCCAGTAAAACCACATGAGATCAATCCACCAGAAAACTTTATACCATAAATACATTTGCATTAGAAAAAGAAAAATGACAACATGCTGCAAATTGACAAAGAATAAACAGCATCTTCTTTATTACATTAGATTTTTTTTACATTCTTTGTATAAAGAAGCAGTTTCTAATTCAATACTCAGATCTAGTTGGAGTGGTTAAAGTTAAAGTGGTTAAAGTGGTTAAAGTTAAGGCCAGGAGAAAAATTCAACTTAGCATTTCAAACAATTAAGAAATTAGCAAAAAGTGTTTACAACAAACAGAAAAGCTCTTGAAAAAGAAGCTGGTGATGCTAATCGATAACACAGACGCTTCATTCAATTCCCAGTGCAAAACATTTTCAGATAATTAGAAAACTAAATATATCAAGTCCATATTAAAGCAGAGCAGCTTTGTGCAGAGGATTTTCAGAATAAATAAATTTGCTCAAAGCTGCTGGTGCTTCCAGTGTGAACAGGATTATAGTTGTATATCAGCGCTTTGTTCTCTTCCTCCTTAGACTGAAACCTGTGAAAGTTCTTCCGTGCTACAGAGAGATTTACAGATCAGAGTTTAAGTGACAAGCAAATACTCAGCCTTAGGACTCCAAACCTGTAGTGTTTTCATACCTTCGTTCACAAAGAAGTGGGCCGTGTAGAAAGTCGTCCTGACTGCCGATGGAGAGTGAGGAATGTAAGGCCTGGACCACTCAAAGGCATTTTTCTCTGGATGCCACTGCGTTCCATAAACAGGGTAACTGTAAGCTGCACGGAGGTAAGAAAACAGCAGTCATCAAGACAACTGTCCTGTTGTACCGCGCCACTGAGACTGTTTCAATCACCTTCCACTGTTGACACAAACTCGATGTTTCCGTCTGTGTTTGTTGAGAGGACTTTATAGAAACTCTTCAGGTCCTCGTTTGTGTTGTAAGTCTGAAACAAACAGAAGTGATTAATCAGAAAACTAAGAGCATTTGTTGACGGATTTATTAAAGACTCGAGGTTTATTTTAAGGGCGTTAAGGTCTCGTTTAGGTCTACAGTTTCAAAACGGGACGGATTGACGGATAGATGGATGGTTGTTTCCATCCTCCTTTTCCCGCCCACAGATCATTTCAACGTTTTGTTGACACCCTGAGGTCCCTGCGGTGCGGGTCTGCGTACCAGCGTGCCGAGGCTCCAGTAGTGGGAGTTTTCTGTTAGCGGCTCGGCGGACAGAGCTGACATGAGGTCAGGAGGAAAGGCCTCAAACATCCTGCTGCCTTTCACCTCTGGAGAGGAAACAATCCGTCATCAGTTCTTATAGCAACTTTTAAAGCCATCATATTCCATCGCTACTGGAGTATAATTTTATGTAATAAACTGTTTAACAACAGTTCTGGTTTGAATGAAACCACGGAATATCCAAAATAATTAAACAAATATCAAACATATTCACCTGGAGTGAAGTTGAGCGGCAAGGCGACGCCGCTCGTGTTGGTGTGTGACAGCTGAGTATTTTCACTCGTCAAATACATGAGCTGTTCAAAACCCAGACAGGTCCCCCACACCGGGAAATAGTCGCCCCTCTTGTTCGCCTGAGACACCAAACACTGTAAAAATACCACGACATCCACGACACAGCTCTGAGCAGGTTAACCTTTCACCTCAATGGCCAGATCGTAGAAGATTTTGGCAGCTTTTTGGTAGCCAGATGAGGTGATGCTAACTCCGCCGCCTGGATACAGGATCCTGTCACGCATAAAACACACAAACCCAATCGAAACGTAAAAATAGAGCACTAAAAACAAAAACAGAAATAGGCTCATTATAAATGTTCCCAGTATGGTCCCAATTTAAATCTGTTTGCACAAATTTATCAATAAAATAAGGCAGAATGTTGTGTAAAGTATCAATACTTGAAACTTTGATATTTAAATATAAACATAAGTGGTGCATTATAAATGTTTTGAAACATGAAACAAAATAAAATTGTTAGACTTTTAAAATGTGGAAAAAAGGTGCCAACTGCGTTTATTTGGATTTCTAAAGAGAATATGATGCATAACATTTTTTATTTTTGTCACACTTTGAATCTTTTAGCTCAAATACATTTCAATATGAAACAAACTGAGAAAATACAAAATGCTGTTTGAAAACTTAATTTGAAGAGACTTTTTTGTAATTGTCACCTTTTCCATTGCTGGTCAAATTTTTCTACAGAGGTGTTCGATACATTTCAAGGGCCCAGGGCTGCGTGGGGGCCCACTTTCTGTTAAAACCACCACTGCCACTAAGCCCTAATATACAGATTTGGTGGAGTCGGGATAATTGGTTATTTCCTTATACTTATATTTGAATAAACTGAATTCAGATGCAAAAGATTATTTTCTTTTGTGATTGTAATCAAGTCAGTTGCCTTTAGGAAATTAAACGCATGATAAATTAAAATGAGCTGACAAGTTTTTTATTTTGTTTACAGAGATGTTATAGTAATTTATTTGTGTCATTTTTGCTATTTAAATGCCTTGGGTAAATGTATTGGGTTAACTTGCATCATTACTCCATTCTCACTTGATAATGGTTGAATAACAATAATATCATTCATTAATAATTTGTGGTGCAGCAAAATTTGTTGTGAAAAGCCAAGCAACAATAAAACAATGAAGATGATTCATCACAGTTTTATAAAGTAAATTTGCCAGTTACTTTGAATCTTACTTTAACCAGGGTTTTTGGCGTGGTTTACACTGACAGCTGAGAGCCACTAGCTTTAATTATATGATAAACTGACTTGCCATATAGGTGGATATAGTGAAGAAAGCATATTGAAAGCTTGGAAATATAGGATTATGTAATGTAATGGTACTATTTTATATGTAAGGTTACATTGGAGTAGAACAAGGAAGTGACGTATGCTGTAGAGACCCTAAGATAGAACACTGTTCAGCAGCCCGAGATTGTGTTGGTGTTATGTTCGACATTAAAGACGTTCAAACGCAATATCGGTGACATCCTTGACTCGGCATAACATACATGGTGTCAGAAGACGTCGGAAGATGGTGTTGAAATAATATTTTAAATTAGCACAATACTGCACAGGATAGTTTTGATACATATGAAATATACCATAGAAAGTTAAAGTACACTCTACATTCACATAAATTAGATAAAAATCCAAACTAAAACAACTGCTGAATCTCTGAACTTATATAAATTCTTAGGGAGGATTCTACAGGAAAGACAGGCCTAGAATCTCTTTAGACAGAGTCTGTCTGCCAGGCAATTAACAAATTTAGCATGGTTCAAAAGTTCACTAGGATCTTAAAACTTTTTATAATTTTATCTATATTAGAATTAACTATATTTCTTTAAGCATGTTTTTAATTAGTTACTTATTAGATCCAAACTTATAGTCATTATTTAGCATTACATTGTGTGCAAGCTTGGTTAAAAAATACAAACTACTTTCTTGTGGAAACATTTTGAGGCACAGATAGCGCTGCAGCTGCAATCATATATCAAACTGGACAGCGTCTGATACGAGAAGGGTTTGCCGTATATCTGCTTTTGGGGCTCTTTAGCAGGAGGTAATAAAATTAACATTGAGACAGCCCACACAAAGGAAAAGAACACACCTCCTAATGCATATATTTAAATGAGGAGAATATGCAGTCTATAAAAAATGGTTTGTTTCACAGCAGAAGTTGGAATCTCTTTGTGCTGAGAGAGTTTCCCGGAGGATGCATCTTCTTTTTTTACTCAGTTCTTTGTCTCTGTTCTGTAATGTCTTGGACTTTTGATGTTCTAGGTGAGATGATTATTGTAACATTCTTCTTGCATTGATTTTCTCTGGATAAAACTCTGAATATCTGAAGTCTGACGTCGTATGATTGCTCTTTTCTCTCTGCACACTTACACAGACACAGGAATTCGGGACTAGAATTAATTAAAGAGCTAAATCAAGTCTTCATCTTTTTAATTCTTAACAATGGCAAAGTTCCCACCTCCAGAAACCTTTGATTTTTCACGGCCGGAGCAGTGGCCTGAGTGGCGGCAGCGATTTCAGCGCTACCGGGTAGCCACAAAGCTAAACCTAGAAGACGGCGAGGTCCAGGTCTGTACGTTGCTTTATTCTCTCGGGAAGGAAGCGGAACAAGTGTTCAAGACGTTCACATTCGAAGAAGGGGAAGAAGACGAAGATGAGTATGAGATAGTTTTAAACAAACTAGACAACTACTTCGTCCCCAAAGTGAACACAATACATGAAAGAGCTCGTTTTCATCAGCGCGCTCAGAGGTCGGGGAGACCGCGGAGGAATACATAAGGATTCTCCATGAGTTAGCAGACACCTGTGATTTTGGCCGCGTTAAAGAAGAAAATATCCGAGACAGATTGGTCATAGGAATACTTGACAAAGAAATGTCTGAGAAGCTGCAAATGATGCCTGACTTAACCCTCAGTAAAGCGGTGGAGCTGGTTAGACAGTCAGAGCAAGTAAAACAGCACGTAAGCGAGCAAGGAGCTAATGCTTGTGCTAACCTGAGTGAAGTGGCTTACAAGCGCCAACAACACCGAGAGAGGCTGACACACAGCGAAAGCCATGCAAACAAAGCACAGAACACAGGAGGAGTCAAACCAAAACACTATCAAAATGTTAATAAAGGTCGCAAATGCACAAGATGTGATCGAGTACATGCAAAGACTGATAAATGTCCAGCTAGGAATGCCGAGTGCAGAAGCTGTAAAAAGCTGGGTCATTTTGCAGTCGTGTGTCGCTCCCGTGTGGTCAGTGAAGTTACTGCACCTAAAAGGAACTTTGACAGAAATGCGATATATTTTCTTGGAGGAGTTACAGACGTAGAAGATTCTTCGAAAGCTTGGACTGTAAACCTGCCAATACAAGGTTCTCACATCGTCTTCAAAATTGACTCAGGGGCTGATACTAGTGTTATACCATCAGAGACATTTGAAAAACTTGCCTGTAAGCCAAAACTAAGAAAACCGACAAGCAAACTAGACAGTCCCGGAGGCAAACTGAATTGTATGGGTTATTTCATAGCCACCACAATGAGGGGAGGCAAAAGATTCAGATTTAAAGTCAATGTGATTAACGGCCCCCAATGCAGTCACCTCCTGAGTCGTAATGTTGCAGTAGCCATGGGCCTGATAAAACGCATGGAGGAAATAAGAGCTCCAACACAAACCAGTGAATCCTGTCCTGATGAAATAGGAAGGCTAAAAATCAAACCTGTTAAGATCACTCTAAGAGAGGGTGCAACTCCCTATAGTGTGACAACAGCACGGAGAGTGTCAGTTCCCATGTTACCGAAAGTGAAGAAAGAGTTGAATCGTATGGTAAGCTGTGGAGTGATTCAACCAATCTCAGATCCAACAGAGTGGTGTGCTCCAATGGTGCCCGTGCCAAAGAAAAACAAAGAACAAATTACAATATGCGTCGATTTGAAAGAGCTAAATAAAGCAGTCAAAAGGGAAAAGTATGTCCTACCAACGGTGGATGACATCTTGCCTAAACTGGCAGGCGCCAAAGTGTTTTCACTGTTAGATGCTGCAAGTGGATTTTGGCAAATACCACTTGATCCAGAGAGCGCCAAATTAACAACCTTTATAACCCCATTTAGATACTACTTCAACAGGCTACCATTTGGTATTACCAGTGCACCAGAAATCTTTCAGCGAGAGATGACAGAACTCTTAGGGAACAAGAAGGAGTAGCAGTCTACATGGACGACATACTCATTTATGCAGACACTCCAGAGCAACATGAAGCGAGACTAAAAAAAACACAGGACACACTTAAGGAAGCAGGGTTAAGGTTAAACAATGAAAAATGCCTCCTACATCAGAAACAACTCCATTATCTGGGTCATTGTATTGATGAACATGGCATAAGGCCAGATAAAGCCAAAGTTAATGCAATCACAGAACTTGAACCACCAAAGAATGTTTCCGATCTGAGGAGGATTCTTGGAATGATTCACTACTTGGGCAGATACCTACCAAATCTTTCTGAAGTCACAAAACCTCTCAATGATCTGCTTAAAAGTGATGTGACTTGGACTTGGGATACAGCTCAAAAAGAAGCATTCAGTAAAGTGAAAGATCTTGTCACAAAGTCACCAGTCCTCGCATTCTATGATGTAACCAAACCGACTGTTTAGACGCTAGCAGTTATGGTTTAGGGGGAGTTTTACTTCAAGACCATAATGGACAGTTGAAACCAGGGAGTTTTTGTTCCAGAACACTCACCGATGCAGAGCAACGATATGCACAAATTGAAAAAGAATGTCTAGCAGCAGTCTGGGCATGTGAGAAGTTCAGCAGATACCTTTATGGACTGAACTCTTTTACCTTACAGAGTGACCACAAGCCACTGATACCTCTCATAAACAGCAAAGATCTTCATTCAGTGCCGCTTAGATGTCAGAGACTTTTGCTGAGAATGATGCGGTACAACCCAACTGCTGTGTATGTTCCAGGGAAAGAACTTTTAGTAGCAGATACCCTTTCACGCCACCCACTGGCGTCCACATCTCATGAAATAGCAGAACTGCTGGGAAATAGAAGCATATGAAGACGTAACACAACGCTCTTGGCCTATTTCTCCTACCAAGGATTTAATCAAACAACACACACAGCAGGATGTGACCCTTCTAGCAGTGCAAACCTTTTTGCAGACAGGCTGGCCTAAATACTCAAATAAAGTGCCGGAAGGGGTGAAGCCATATTATGCTAACAGACATTCTATTACCATGTCAACAGGCTTGTTGCTGTATAATGACAGAATCATTATACCACAACAGCTAAGGCCTGAGATTCTGCAGCGTATTCATGATGGACATCAAGGCATTGTGAAATGCAGAGAAACAGCCAAGTGTAGTGTTTGGTGGCCAGGATTAAGCAGTGAGATAAGAAAAATGGTTACTGCTTGTGCACACTGCCAAGAGTCAAAACCCACTCAGCGGAGAGAACCATTGCTTACTACGACACTGCCGAGTCGACCATGGGAGAGGATAGCCGCAGACATTTGTGAGCTTAACAAACAGAACTACTTAGTTGTAGTCGACTATTTCTCCCGTTATATTGAGTTAGCCCACCTCAAAAACATGTCAAGTGAGTCCACAGTTGCTAACCTGAAAAACATTTGTGCAAGATGGGGTTCCCCAAATGAACTGGTTACCGACAATGGTCCTCAATTCTCAGGAAGAATCTTTGAACAGTTTGTGAAGGACTATGACATCAAGCACATTACCACAAGTCCTCACTACCCACAGGCAAACGGTGAGGCCAAGAGGGCTGTCCAGACCGCTAAAAGGATTCTGAGACAGACTGACCCGTTTTTGGCCCTGATGACTTACAGATCAACTCCTATTCAAGCAACTGGCGTGAGCCCAGCCCAACTTATGCTAAGTAGACAGATCAGAACCACGATACCGATGTTGGAAACGAAGTTACAGCCTGCATGGCCGGATCTACAGCTCGTCAGATCAACTGATGAGAAGACAAAAGAAAACTATGTGCGGAATTACAACAGCAGACATGATGCCAAAGCACTGCCAGAACTCCAACCAGGACACACTGTTTCAGTGAAACTGGACAATGAAAAGGGATGGACAGAACAAGCTACTGTTCTACAAAAGTGTGATTCACCTCGTTCATACCTTGTCCAAACCAAGTCAGGAGTCTTGAGGAGGAACCGCCGACACCTAAGACCCGTCCTCAGTAACCCACCTACTCCAACAACAGATGGACTGCCACAAGTTCAGAGTGAAACTGAGCTACACTTACCTTTTTCACCTGTAGAACCAGGGTGTGACTTTCCAGACCCGGTTAATCTTAGCTTGCCTGAGACTCCTGTTCGTACGACTTCTAGTGGCAGGGTTGTTAAATTGCCTAAACGATACGCTGACTATACCACCTGAAGAGGTTATTCAGCTATTTTGACCTGTGTATTTTTGAGTTAAAAATTTGTGAGGTTTATTCTGTGAAGGTCCTGTTGGGCTTGAGTTATAATTTTACATCAGCTAAAGCTAAAACCCACTGTTAATCTGTTACTTTGTCTTAAAGACTCAAAGAAAGGGTGATGTAATGTAATGGTACTATTTTATATGTAAGGTTATTGGAGTAGAACAAGGAAGTGACGTATGCTGTAGAGCCTAAGATAGAACACTGTTCAGCAGCCCGAGATTGTGTTGGTGTTATGTTCGACATTAAAGACGTTCAAACGCAATATCGGTGACATCCTTGACTCGGCATAACACTACAGATTATAGTTAAAATCAGAGCCAATATGCTTAATATAATTAATTTTTTACCCATTAATAGAGCTGAACAGAGTCTTGTATTCCTCCGGTGTCTTGTTAATCCTGTAACCAGAGGATATTTAAGTTCATACCGGCGATTAATACCGTTAAAATGGCGGAAAGAAGCGTCCAAACAACTCACATGACCGGCACGACTCTGGCTCCAGCAGCCTCCAGAAACTTCACATAGGAGGCCGCGATGTAGGCCGTCTGGTTCGGGTTCGGGGAGAAGACCTCCTGAGCCAGAACACCTACGACAGGAGACCAACGTTTTTCAAACACGACTCCGACAACAACCGGCGGTTTTCATAACCGGAAGCGGCGATAAACTCACCGATTATTGGTTTGTCATTTCTGTCAGTTGATGAACAAAACTGGAGATTAATAAGCGAAATAAAAAGAACCAAAGTAAACATTTCTGTAGACGTAGACAGCGAGGAACTCGTTGTTGATAAAGTCATTCTTATTCCTTCCGCTTTTTGCTTTCAAAATAAAAGCACAGATCGTGATTGTGGATTTACAAAAATAAAACCGTGTAAACAATTACAGCTGGCCTACAAGTAAACAAATCATTTGTTCTCCTTAAGCCAGTTCTCTAATAAATATATTCAATGTTTACATTTCACAATTGGATACTATTTTTCTGTTTTTAGAAAAAGTTAAGCTAATTTTACTTTTTAAAACTATAAAATAAATGTTCTCCAAGCATAAAAACTAAACTTTACGTTGAGTTGATTTCATATATGTATCGTTATTAGGGCTAAAAGTGAGGAAGTGAAACTAAAAAGAACTATTGGCATTTTAACATTGGCATCTAAATTAAGGAATCCCAAAAGTGTCGAAATTGAAGTCAAAAACAGCACACTGAGAAAGAAGCTGTCAGTGGAGAAAATATTGTGAAAACTTGATTTCACATTTTTGTTCCAATTCATTTTCAATAATTTCAGCTACACTGATATTCCTCAATGCCAATATTTTCTATCAGTTCGTTTTAAGTCACTTGTCTTAGTCCTATACTTTTAGATGTCAGTACTACTTATGAAAAAGTCTGTAGATAAAATTTTCCCTGCTTGATTTTTCTCTGAATGCCCCTCATACACACATCTATAATGACAATTTATGAAAAGAAATAGCTTTATTCCCAAAATCACAAATATTTGTATTTTGTACAAAACAGGCGCTCTCACATTTGCACTTTGTTTTGTTCTTTCAAACATTATTGCATGGGTTGATACATTTATCACCTACTATTGACACTCAGACATTTTTTTGTGAAACATCATACAAAAATAGACCAAATCTAGAAGAGAGAGCATCAATAAACAAATGATAAATTACATTCTCAATTTTTATTGTCTGATGTTTATGTGCTGTGACAGCATAAATAAATCAATAGATTTAAATTAAATAAGTCCTTTAAAGAGAAAGATTCTAAAAAGAATGGTCATCAAACAAACACAGAACTAGAAAAAAAATCAAAAAACAAAAAATTACAGTGCATCACAAATGTCTTTGGTGGCAACGTTGGTTGTCTGGCCGTCCATGAAGTAGAAAAACACTAAAAAATCTTTTCCTAAACAGAGAAGAAGGCCTCAAGATTCTCGTATTTTTGATCTAACGTATAAAAGAAGGAATATGTGCTACTTTATATCCATGCAGCTGTAGTGTTGCATGTTTAACTTAATTGTCGCCGAGTTTGTATTTATTTGTTCTTAGTGTCAAACTTCTGTGTTTTATCCTGCATCGCTGTATGTGCCACCAGGTTGGAAATCTTTGACTTGCTTCGTAATAAATAAAGACATTCTGTGATTCTTGTTCGGAGAGAGTACACCATGACCCCCAGTCCTCTGACTGATCTCAGAAGTCAGGAAACTAAACGATGACGTTGGTTTAAAACCACAAAAAGCTAAAATGATGTCCTTAAGGAGTCTTTAATGTTTACTGCGTCCAAGTTGGGTTTTGTCTGAGAGAGTTAGGAGTTTTTGTAGGTCTCGATGCAGAGGACGATGAACTCGGTGGAGCAGCTTCTGGTCTGCTGGCCGAGCAGCAGCCCTGAGGTCAGGCTGGACGACTGGCCCATGACGGAGAAGTCGTCCGCCTGCCACGTCTCGCAGTGTTTGTCCACCACTCTGAGACCCCTGCTGGTGGAACCGTGCCAGATGCTCTTCTTGGGCCTGTCGCACAGAGAAATTCACTGCTTTATATGCTGGCCAGTAGTTTATATACACCCATCATGAGGGTTCACGCACCAGAAAGGATCAGCTAAAACATCCCGGCCATCAAAGGAGTAGATGGGTATCCTGGGATTCACTGGTCCGCCGTTGCCGATGAAGATGGACTGCCAGTTCCTGAACATCACATCTCCCTGAGGGGAAATATTCATTTAATGCAATTTATTCAGGTTTTGTTTGATCCTTTTTAGCATGGAGAGCTGACTCACCCTGAGGTTGGTTACTGGCAGAGAGTCCCGGAAACTGGGATAGACGACATGGACCAGGTCCTGCTTGTGGGACGACATGAAGGCGCGGTAGTTGGGAGCCAAACCCATGGCCTTGGCTTGCTCATAACACATCCGGTCAACCATGTTGAGCCCCATCATGTTCCCTGAGTGTGGCTGATTCAGCGCTACCAAGTTTAGCTAATGGATGAGGATTCAAAACAAACAAACAAAAAGTTCAGCTCTGAGAAGTTCTGGAAAGAAAATGAGACCAAAAATCAACTTGAATCCTGATCTTACCCTTTCGTTGACTGAACGGATTCTCTGCATCGTCTCTCCTCTTACTTGATATGCAATTCGAGGCTGAATGAACAGTTAACAAGAGGCTTTAGAAGAACATCACAACACTTGTCAAGATAGACTATTAGGGCCATTGTACATAGAAAAAAGAAAAGGGAGAACACTTCCTCCAAAAATGCTGAAACATTTATCAGTTTAAATAGTTGAAAATTTGCTAGAAGAAACTCAGAAATTTAGATTAGAAACACAATGAAAATGTTTGACTTCTGGAACTAATATTTCCATATTTAGATTTTTTTTAAAGAACATTTCTCAGATTAATCTCGGAAGTTTTGTTTTGGGAAATTTTCAACTTTTCAAACTCAGAAAATTTTCCAAGAAAATTTCTAAAAATCACCAGAAAATATCTGAAAAATAATATTTTTTGTCTTAGCAATCTCTTAGAAATTTTCTGAAATTAATCTTTTTGGTAAAAAATCACTCCCTTTTTTTAAATGTACAATGACTCTAATATGCCATTGTACACACAGCTTGCAGTAAATATTGAAATAAAAAAGTGCTGTATGTACCTCATCTTGGGGGATGATGTTATTGGAGAGGTAGATGAGGCTGCCCAGCTGAGGGGAAACACAAATCGCGTTCATATTTTGACCCATCTGGCTCATGTTCGTTCAGGACAATAAATACGTCGTTTGAACAGCATAAAACCAACATTTATTGTGCGATTCAACAAGCTTCCAAAGTCAAACTGCCACAATGCTTCATCACACACAGCATAGGAGGTCATTGATTTTTATAAACGGGAGCAGCAGCACAACATTAATCATTCCCTCAAACCGGCTGGTTCACCTTCAGAAATGTGCTCTGAAAAAACATTTGGCAAAAATGCATCTTTTATTTTATAGGAAACCACAGAGTGTGTTGAGGCTTAAAGCTATCTGATTAACAGCAACGTTTAAAACGTAACCCAAATAAACTTTTTTTGCCATTACTCTGCTAGTACCTGTATTTCCTTCCAGCCTTGGCGAACCTTTAGGAAGAGGTTTCCTGTCGCTTTGACGTAAGCCAAGGTTCCCTCTTCGTCCCTCGACATCTGCTGCATCATGCTCTCTCGAGTTGCAAAGGTTTTCAGCTAAAAACAGTTGGACAAGTCGGTGAAAGATGCAGATTCGTTTTATTTTGGCAAATTAACAGCATTACAAGAAAAAAACCCCCAACAAAATACTGCTTTACGATTTGCGAACCCGTAATTTATATAAATGGTTATAAAATACATATAGCAGTATAAACTCTTATCATTTTAATATCAGAAGAGTTTTGATCTGATCTACAGAATTATGCCCAAATATGCCAAATTTCACAATTTGGCAGGCTGGTAAGCATCGCTAACTAAAGCTCTAACCCTTATATTAGTCCTGGTAATGCTAAAGCAATATAACAACATAGCATTTTATAGAAGCTAACATGCTAAATGTAATCATGTCGACACATAGCATGTATCAATGCTGTAGCATTAGTTAGAATACAGTATGTTACCGTCATTGGGTTAAAATGTGTTAATGTACATCCTCCTGGATGTTTGTGGTTCAGGAAGTGATTCTTTGGAACAGACATTTTTTGACACGATAGACAAACTTACAAACGCAGAGTTACTTGAAGTCCCAGGGGCTCCAGGCGGTCCCGGAGGCCCAGGAGGGCCAGCAATGGCCACAGCTGGTGAATCACAACAGTTAGCATTGATTATACAGGAAGGTTTTCTTCATATAATTGACTACACTTATAGATAGACTTGGTTACATTTGAGTTGATTTCTTATCCTTCATTGGTCCAGATAAGTATTTTAATGACATAAATAAATTTGTTTCCAGAATAAACTATTATATCTTTGTTTAAAAATCACCAGCTCTGATAATACTTTAAAATTTTATTCTGCATAATATTTCACAAAACAAGGACATCATACATCCACAGTGTCTTCTGTATGCAATCCTAGAAGGTTTTTACCTGAGCCGTATCTTTGTGGTAGTCCAGGCGGTCCTGGAGGACCAGGAGGCCCGACGGCACCGGGTCTGCCGTAGCCTGGAGCCCCAGGTGGGCCAGGCATCCCCGGGGGGCCAGGTGGTCCAAGCACCGACTCCCCTTTAGGTCCCTAAATGACGTCAAGAAAAAAAATCATTACAATTTTATTTGTATGGCAGATCTGAAGGTGCTTTCCATCACAAAACGACAGACATTTTGAAATAGTCAATGAAACTGAAGATAAACGCATGGATGAGGCTATCAAGATATTGTTGAGTAATTAGTCCTCTCATCCTGGAAAAGAAGCTACAAACAAACAAACAGCAACCCAACAAACAACGACGACGACTCACCACCAATCCGGACCTCCCAGGTATGCCTGGCTGGCCTCTGAACCCGACCTCCCCCTTTTCTCCCTTCTCTCCCTTCATGCCTTGGTCTCCCTTAGTCAGCTGTAAAGACACAGGAGAATTTCAATACTCGAGAACATCATCTGAAGAAAACAAATGAGAGAGACAAACTTACCCATCCACCTGAGGGGAGAAATGAACCTTAAAAAGGAAAAGGAAAAAGCTGAAATATTATGCTTCACACAATAAAAACATAATTATAAAGCAAGCAATAACCATCATCAAAATCACCCAGCAAATACACATCAATATGTATCCAGCTTTGTTATTAATCAGAGGTGGATTTTTAGCCTCCAATTACA